CTAAAAATTTAAAGCAAAAAGTACAGTAACCGTTTCAAATGAGATTAAGTGTAATGACTAACAAGTTGGTTAATAAATTAATCTTTTAAATGTTGTTGCGATGATTAAACGCTTAACCCGTTTACTACAATTAACCAACTCAATCGTCAACGATTAGTCATCTTTTGTCATCAAAAACATTGAAAAATATTAGTCTTTATGTTTACTTTGTAAACAAGTATAAAGCTTATATAGTCCATATTACAAGTTAAATTGTACTTTCTACTCCAAGCTGTACTCTTGCCTTATCCTGTTCTATCTCTGCGTTGAATCCACTATACCCTAGCTCTATTCTGCCCCTGTCCTTCTAACTATAATATAAGTAAATCACCAAATATAGTGATACTTCTGTATAACAAACTCTTCTATAACAAAAATTCGTCATCAAAAATTTTAAAAGCAAATCGACCGGTCGATAAACTCAAAAAAAATTTTTTTACTGTTTGTTTTTTACGCTCACTGAACGTAAAATTTAACCTTTTTTAAGCGTTTTTAGTCTAAAATAATTAGATAATTATCGACCGGTCGATAAAAATCAAAATAAAAATTTATTCAAAAATTTAAAAAAGAATTTTTTAGGTTTGCCGCGCTCAAAATATAACTTTTTAACTTGTTTTTGACTTACAATATTATCGACCGGTCGATAAAAATCAGAAAAAAAAACTAAAAAAAATTTTTTAAATGAAATTTTTAGATTTGCCACGCTTAAAATATAATTTTTGTATTATTTTTTTTCGGCTTAAAAAAATTATCAACCGGTTGATAAAAACATTTTCCAAATTTTATATTTTTTGATTTCTTTAGTCTAAACCATATCAATACCTACATAAAAACCATCAAACTAAAAAAATGTCAAAACGACGTGAACCAATATCACTTTCTACCTGATTAGAATGCCTATCGCATGTTATAATCGACTTGATTTGATGCGATTTGTCATAAAAAGCCCTTTTTTCGGTTTTTACCGCAAAAATTCTCGTAATTCTTATCAGTGGGAAAATGACAAATGACATCCAGATTCCTATCGCGAAAGTGAAACTATAAATCATCTTAATTCGTAAGAAGCGTTTGATTACGCAAACCACTGATAAACAGCAGTACCGAATAGTTAGACTCAAAAAGAGTTGGTATGTCAGTAATTTATTCACAATAGTCAGAGAACAGTTTGCAGAAGGCTTCGCAAAAGATTTTTATTACTAGAAGCGTCCACAGCTACATGTACATCACCAGAAGCGTTTGTAAGCCGATTTTTATCTTCAGAAGCACCAGCGTGTCCTTTCTGATTAACCTTAACCATCGACAGAGTCTTTCTTGTTCAGTTTGTACAATCTAAGTAAATAATCAGTATCACAGCACAAAAAAGTAACCGTGCCGACCAGAACTGCTGCAGGAGTAAACGGGCAACCCTCCTCAAAAAAGAAAACTTTCGGAAAAAGTTGAACTTGGCCCCGCCTGTACATTTTTTGACCTCTAAACCAATTAGGCTGGGCTGGACGGATGGACTGGTCAAAGGGCAAGGCAAGGCAAGGCAAGGCAAGGCAAGGCAAGGCAAGGCAAGGCAAGGCAAGGCAAGGCAAGGCAAGGCAAGGCAAGGCATACAGGAGTTCCACAGTTTAACATGAAACCTTTTCAAGGCAGACCTGTTGGTCATTTGTGATATCCCACAGCTAAAACAAGACCACTACAATCAATACCAAAACTTCAAAGTAAACTAAAAGAACAAGAGATAAATTGCTTGTTATAAATTATTTCCAAAGTGTATTGACATGTCAATAAGTTTGATCAAAGCTTTTAAACAGCAGCTTGACTTTAAAGCCGGCTTTTTTTTAGCATACTGAACCTTACTTTATCTTCCTCTTAAGCCTTTCCATCACCTTCTTCAACATTTTCCTCACCTTCTCCTTAAATATTTCATGCCATTACCTGCCCTTTGCTCAATGAACTCTTCAAAAACCCGTTTGTTTGCGTTTTTTTATAATTTCGTATCTTAATACAACGACAGCTGACCGAGTGCAACTTTTTCTAGTCTGTTCGGCCGTTTTTTAGCCTGTTATCGTGATGGCAAAACGTTTTTAATTAAACGCCTCAGGCAGTTTTAGTGTTGTAGACCAGGGCTATAATTACGGGAAAGCGGGATAGGGAAGAAGGGGGGGGGGTAAAGTTTGAATGGTCTTTTTGTTGATAAATGAGAAAGATTAGACCATTGGGCTACTTTTTGGAGGTCCATCTTTGTAAACTGCATTTTTTAATGCTTATCAGTAGTTATTTGACTAGTATAGGGGTATTTTCTAAAAAAGCAGTAATTAGCAGGGTAGAGTAGGGCTAAAAATTTAAAATGTTTAAATTTTGTGTAATGTTTAGGCTTAGGTTTGATATGTAAAAAGGCTTAGTTTTACAGGTTGGAGGACTCTAGCCTTGTTGGGGCAAAGCTAAAATGTAAATATAAGCCTAAAAGTTTTTATAAGCCATAACTTAATCCGAATCCAAACCTGAGCTTTAAATTTTGAAAAAATTTTAATTTTTTTGACCGGTTGATAAATTATTTATTAAGGTCAAAAATAGTTTTATAAAAGTTATTTTTTAGGCGTGGCAAATTTAAAAAGTAAATTTTGCAAAATTTTTATAAATTTTTTTAATTGTTTTTTGATCGGTCGATAATGTTTTTGCCTAAAAATGACTAAAACTGCTAACTTTTAGGGTTATTAAGCCAAAAAATCAATATTACAACAAGTTTTTTGTTTGATTTTGATCGACCGGTCGATAATTTTTTGGGCTGAAAATGCTTAAAACTTTAAAATTTCGAGTTTAGTAAACCTGAAAAACTAATGTTTCAAAAAAAATTTTTTTTATGGTTTTATCAACCGGTTGATAATTTTTCTTTACAATTATTTACTATTTCAGTGGAACTTCTGTACTAATAACTTATATATACCAAAACTCCTTCATAACGGACAAACTTATAATCCTATGACAATTTTTTATACAGAAGTTTCACGTTTTTTTTTAATTTTATGTTAATTGATCAAGACCAGTTGTTTCGGCACAACTTGGAGGGTCTTTGCTCTCTGAACTTTTCAAAAGCGGCCGTGACGATAAAACGATGAGATAAATGTAATTACAATGTTTGAGTTGAGTTTTTTTTGGCATTGGAATTTAGTTTTAGCATGAGCTGAATACATAACTCTACCCTACCTTACACTTCCCCATCTTTTCTTATCCTACCTTACTATACCCTCCTTACCTTGCTCTACTATACTCTTGTTATCTGGGGTTACCTACTCTAATTGCTCTGACTACAGTTAAAAATAAAAGCACGTTTATTTTCGTTTCGAGTGTAAAAGTTTCACATATGATTGGAATTTGATACGTGACATAAACATGTGCTCAAAAAACATATGGCAAAGCGTGTTATTGCGGTGAACTTGTCATGATCATGAAAAAACTTCTTTTAACTTAAAACAAAGGACTTTTTTACTGCCTTCTCAAGATTAACAAGTACTTAATTGATCATGTTTAGAAGCGAGATGCTGTGTTTGTTTTTTCTTGCAGACTGGCCAATCAATCTTAAGCCCTTCCTTTATTATCATTTTTTGGGTCATTCTTAATCACTTCAACGATTATTTCTTCTATTATAACACATTTGAAATTGGCGTAAATTTTATTTTGTTTTTAGACTTCTGATTATTGTTAGGTACAGTTGATCTCTTGTATAACAAATGATTTTTAAAGCCCTGGTTAACATTACTTTATACACTAGAAGTACCTGTTTATCTTTTTTTTTACTTTACATTCTTCAAGCGTCTACCATTACAACACGGGATAGATATGTTAGATTAGATGATTTTTGATGCCGTAGATTGTAATGTACAGTGCTGATATGCAAGGATATTTAAGGTTTAGATGAAGACCAACGGAGTTATCCTTGAGTCTGGCGTTTCCCACAATTGGGCCTCTCCCCAGGTAGTTCACCGTTCCTCACGTCACTGAGTCGTGAGTGAGGTGCTTCATAAGGCTTCTGGCTTTCAATCATGTACTCGTGTAGGTCAGGTCTTGAGCCTGTTATATACCCGTGTAGGCTAAGTATCGAGGCCAAGTACAGATGTTTCTAGTCCCCGTGCACTTAACACTACCCATTGCTCAGGGCGCTTGGGTTGGGCGGTACGAAGGGTCGAACCAAGGTCCTTCCGAATAGCGAGCGGCGCCACAGCCCCTGCGCTACCAACGCACTATAATAAGGAACTCCTTTAAAACAAACAATTTTAAAATCTGAATCGATACGTTAACAAGAGTTTTTCTGTATGTGAAGAAAATTGGAGTATGATAAAGCCAGGATTAGTATGATAAAAAGTTTTTTCAAGAACGAGGCTAATATATGTTTTGGTCTGATCAAACCAAACTTATTGACATGTCAATACACTTTGGACATAATTTATAACAAGCAATTTGTCTCTTGCTCCTTTAGTTTATTTTGAATTTTTGGTAAAGAGAGTGGTAGTCTTGGTTCATCTGTGGAATATCACAAGTGACCATCCGTTTTTAAAGCCCTGTTTACCGCCGGATAAGGATTTGAAAATTTTTTGATTTACAGTTTTTTCGTTAAACATGAGTTTTTTAAAGGTTTATTAACATAGTTTGAACGCTCTTAAAATTACAATTTATGGTCGGTGGAATGTATATATAGGTTAGACTATACGTTGTTGGTGCCGACGATTGCATTGATTTGCTGCGTGTATGTTCCTCCTGTATTGATCTAGTTTTCCCTCCTTTGTTGACCGGAGCTATCCTTGGTTTATAATGTTTCCCATAGTTGGGCCTCCCCCAGTTTTCACTGTGCACCGCATCACTGGCTCGTGGATGAGCTCCATAGGACTTTTGGCTTGTCTATGATACACCTAGATTAGTATTTTGATGCCGTAGATTGTAACGTACAGTGCTGATGTGCAAGGAAACTCAAGATTCAGATGAAGACCAACGGAGCTATCCTTGAGTCTGACGTTTCCCATAATCGGGCCTCTCCTCAGGTATTTCACTGTTCCTCGCGTCACTGAGTCGTGGGTGAGGTGCTGCATAAGACTTCTGGCGTTCAATCATATACTCGTAAGACTTCTAGAGTTTAATCATATACTGTTGTAGGCTGTGCTGGTCCAGTGTTGATGGGCCTAGTCCCCGTGCTCCCAGCACTACCTCTTCCACAATGCGCTTGGGCTGGGCGGAGGCGGGGCTCGAACCAAAGTCCTTCCAAATAGCATGTGGCGCCGCAACCACTGTGCTATCCGCGCTCTGCATAACCCCTTTCAAATTTTTTTGATACAGGCCCAGTCCAGCCTATCCCAGCTTAGCCTAGCCCAGCCCAGCACGGCCCAGCCCGGCCCGGCCCGGCCAAGCCTAGCCCAGCCCAGCCCAGCCCAGCCCAGCCCAGCCCAGCCCAGCCCAGCCCAGCCCAGCCCAGCCCAGCCTAGCCCAGCCCAGCCCAGCTCAGCCCAGCCTAACCCAACCCAGCCCAGCACGGCCCAGCCCGGCCCAGCCCGGCCCAGCCCGGCCCAGCCCGGCCAAGCCTAGCCCAGCCCAGCCCAGCCCAGCCCAGCCCAGCCCAGCCCAGCCCAGCCCAGACCAGCCCAGCCCAGCCCAGCCCAGCAAAGCCTAGCCCAGCTCAGACCAGCAAAACCCAGCCCAGCCCTACTCTGCTTTGCTCTGCTCTCAGCTTAGCTCAGCTCAGCATTGTTCTGTTTTGTCCAACCCAGTCTACTCCAATCTAGCTTAAACCAACCCAGGCCAGCACAGTCCAGTCCAAACCTGTATAAACCAGTCTTGCCCAAACTTGTACAGGCCAGTCTAGCCTAGTCTAGCCCGCCTTAGCCCATTACTGTATAGCCATGTTTAGCCTTGCCCAACCCTGTATAGCGCAGTCTAGACTTAACATTTTGGCTTAAAGGTAACAAAACACTTCTAAATTTCAAATTCCAACGCTCTTTGACTTTGGAAACAAAAATAATTTGCCTCAGGCCGTTAATCTGGCCCATAAATCAGCGCAAATGTTGCCACTCCGAATTTTCATAGTACTACCAATAATATTCACTGTTCGATTATGTATTTAAATAAGATTGGCACATTCCGTGGTGTTTTAATGCAATGACTTTTGTTGTTTGTGTCACTTGGCAAAGAATCTCTTGGTTTTTATTTTTATTGACAAGGACGTAAAATAAAAAAAATTTTTTTGGAGAAATGGATTAATACAAGACAAGCGAGGAGTTTCATAAGAAATGTGCTAGCGCAAAGAACGGCGAATGGTTTGGGCTATTTTTAGAGAGTTTTTTAAGGGTTTGGGGAAGGGGGGAGGGTAGCTCTAAAAAAAGGCCTATTTAGAACGATCAAGCGGTTAGGTCCGGCCCAATTTGTGGACTTAGCCTACGGGCCGACTTTAACTTTTTAGCTTAATTTGCAAGCCGGGTTCATTTTTTGGCCCAGTATTTGGACCGAGCTCAATTTTTTAACTCGGAACCTAGACCGAGCTTAATTTTTTAGCCCAGACCCCGAGCCGAGCTCATTTTTTTGTACCAGACCCCGGACCAGGCTTATTTTTTCCAGATTACTAGCCCGGCCCACTTTTCTTAGTCTAGATCTAGGCCAAGCTTTATTTTTTCCACTAGGCTTTGGACCGAAATTTTTGAATTTTTTTTAGCTTAGACTTTTGACTAAGCTCTATTTTTTGGCACAGAGCACGAGCCAGGCCATGGATCTACACGTGCTGGCTTCTTTTTATTTATAAGCCCGCTAAGCTAAGCTGAAAAAAATTTAAAGGTAGCCGAACCAGGTCGAGCAAGGCCAAGGCCAGGGCAAGGCCAGGGCAAGGCCAGGGCAAGGCCAGGGCAAGGCCAGGGCAAGGCCAGGGCAAGGCCAGGGCAAGGCCAGGGCAAGGCCAGGGCAAGGCCAGGGCAAGGCCAGGGCAAGGCCAGGGCAAGGCCAGGGCAAGGCCAGGGCAAGGCCAGGGCAAGGCCAGGGCAAGGCCAGGGCAAGGCCAGGGCAAGGCCAGGGCAAGGCCAGGGCAAGGCCAGGGCAAGGCCAGGGCAAGGCCAGGGCAAGGCCAGGGCAAGGCCAGGGCAAGGCCAGGGCAAGGCCAGGGCAAGGTCAGGGCAAGGCAAGGCATACAGGACTTCTACTGTATAACACAGAACTCTTTAGCCTTCTCCAACCTTTTACCTCCAAAACACAGTAAAAACAAAGAATCTTGGCCGAAAGAAGAATGATGATGAATATTTACCTCCGTGGCAAAAAAAACGAATTTGTCTTTTCAAAGTTTTACGCGGCCTAAAATTCTATGAATTTTAAATTCGCGCTCAAATCATGACACTTGGTCAAGCTAAAGGCCGTTCCCGAGATTGGTTTAAGGTTATTGACTGTGGGACATTTTTAGTGCGTTGAGGTGAGATTTATTGAATTTTCGGGCAGGGTTTTAGGTTTTTTAGCGAAAATACGGAGGTACGGTAAGGTGTGTAAAATAAGGGAAAGAAGTAGGGCAAGGTGTGTTAGGAAAAAAACAGTAGGGTATGGAGTGTACAGAAAGAACCCTAAGAGATGTAAAATAGAAAAAGTAGGGGAGGGTTGTGGGGTAAGGGATTTTAAACCGAAAGTGTGGTCAAAAAAATTAGCTTGTTTTTAGGATGGACCTTTAAGAAAGCCGAGCCGGTTCGATTTTTTGGCTTGGTCAAAAGTCTGAACATAAGTTTGAATTAGAAAGTTTGGCTTCTTTTAAAATTTTCTTTAGCCCTAGCGGGCTTAGTGAGCCATATACTTTTTAGGTCTATTTTAGAAATCTAAGAGAACTATGGCGGTTTAAAATTGATAGTTGGGTTTTTCCTAGTTTCTAGGCCTTTTCATGACTAGGACTTGAGTTTTTTGAACTTTCTAGCCTTAGCTCTAGCTCTGACTAAGAGTTTTTTTCAAATTCACTTTTAATTTTGGGTAGGGTAGGGTCTATTACTCCTCAGCTTCACAGTCATGCTAGCACTGGTTATGACATAATATGACATTTTTCCAAGAACACTTTTGAGGTCATATTTTCGTCAAAGGTATTTTTTGTAAGGTGTTTCACTTCCGGTTTTCTACGTACTTATTTACAGACAAGAAAGAGTGCTTAAGGATAAAACTTTTATTGTTAAAAGTGCTTTTCTTTGGATTTTTTTTACACATCAAAAAATTTTTAATAATTTTTTTGTTATATCCTAGCCTTCCCTACTCGAGTCGACCTTACCGTTTGTTATACAGGAGTTTACAGTGTAGTGTTACATAGTGTAATATATAGGAATTTGTTAGTGTTTTGGTCAGATTGTTTTGACTACATTTTACTATGTTCCTCTACCACTATGTTTAGTTTTTTTTCTTGTTTAGTTATTTACTAGCGCGCAGTTACTTTATTAGATTATGTTTGTGTTTTTACCAACTCTTCAAATGACAGAGCCTTTGAGATGTACAGTTTGAAATTAGAGTTCCTTGTTTATGCGAGTTTCTAGGCTTAAAAATGGTTTTTAGATACATATAAAGAGGTTTTCTGGCTTATGTCTTAGTGGTATGGCTACGGCTGGGTTTGGCTAAGGTTGTGCTGGAACTAGGGCTAGGACTAGGATTTAGGGTAGAGTTTACGCTAAGGTTTTGTCTATGGTTAGGTAATTCTGAATCTAGAGTTCAAAGCAAAGAAAAGGCATAGCAAAAGCTAAAACCAGCACTAAGGCTAGTGCTAGAACTACGACTAGGACTAGAGCTAGAGCTAGAACTAGAGCTACAGCTAGAGTTAGAGCTAGATCTAGAGCTAGAGCTAGAGCTAGATCTAGAGCTAGAGCTAGAGCTAGATCTAGAGCTAGAGCTAGAGCTAGATCTAGAGCTAGAGCTAGAGCTAGAGCTAGAGCTAGAGCTAGAACTAGGGCTAGAGCTAGAGCTAGAGCTAGATCTAGAGCTAGAGCTGGGCTCTGGGCTAGGGCTCTGGGCTAGGGCTCTGGGCTAGGGCTAGAGTTAGGGCTAGGGCTAGGGCTAAGGTTAGGGCTCTGGGCTAGAGCTCTGGGCTAGGGCTCTAGGCTAGGGCTCTGGGCGAGTGCTAAAATTAAAAAAGTATGGCCAAATCGAATTTGCTGCTCAATTTCATTCATCCGCAAACATTGTTCCCAAATTTGGCGACTAAACACAATTTCGGAACGCTCGCCGCTGGAAATATGTCGACCGCACCAGGTACACTCTCCTGTTGAATAAAGCCCCCCCCCCTTCCGGTGCGCTGAACAATTAATTTGGGGACGAGGATGTAAACGGTTTTGTATTAAAAATTCGAACAAATTAGAGCGGTCAGCGCCTTTGTTTTGAATTTGAAATTTGTGGCCAAATTTTAACAAGTTTTTGCACTTTTGGGACATTTTTAATCGAACTGTGGGCCCGTTGGAAAACTTAAAACTTTTTAAACAATTTTGTGTATTTCAAATAAAGTTTTTGGCTACAGCGTTTAGATTTTGCCGTTGCACGATTAGGTGTTTACTTTTTTTTTAAATTTTTTTAGAATTTATGAAAGTGGAAGCTTAGGGTAGGGTAGTGTAAAAATATATATTGAGATAGGCGAGACAGGGCTAGAAAAGATTAAAATAGAGCTACGGTAAGGCACGGTAAGGAAAGGCAGAAAAAGAGGGAAAAGGAGGACTGGGGAAGTAGGATTGTCAAGGTCAAGGCATGGTAATGCAGCGTAGTATAAAATAAAGTGGAGGAAGAGAAAGAGGAGAGGAGGTTAGGGTAAGGTAGGGTGGACTAGGCTATTCTAAGGTAAAGTAGAGTAGGGTAGGGTATGATAGAAATGGAAAACGGACCGGGCTTTTTCTTTTTCTAGGGTAGGGTAGGGTAGGGTAGGGTAGGGTAGGGTAGGGTAGGGTAGGGTACGGTAATATCATAAAGTTCAGTTATGATTGATGGGAATCATATGTTTTGTTCATAGTTTATTTGTTTGGATAACGTGCCAAATGGACTTTAATGTTATTTTAAATCTGATTTTTGAGCTGAACATATGTATCTATTATATTATACATAAATATATTGTCTATGCTATCTTTTTATCTATTTGGTTTACTACATTTACGTCTTTGAAACTTACTATTCATATAAGCAAACATCCCCAACATAGACAAACATAGTAAATGAACCTAAAGATGTCCATAAAACCTTGGTGTTCTATAAGTTTAATTCAATTCCAACCCCGAATCCCCAAAGAACATAAAAACACGGTGCACGATAGGGTCATTTAAATTGTATCGAGCTGCGGAAGAACCGGAAACCCTCGAAAGGAACGGTGCCGGTATAAAGTATTTATAACTCGGGCAAAGAACAGTTGAAAAAAAAGAAAAAACAGCATTACAACTGTAAAAAAGCTAGTCCTAGCCCTGAGCCCTAGCTCAGAGACCTAGCCCAGAGCCCTAGTTCAGAGCCTTAGCCCAGAGCTCTAGCCCAGAGTCTTAGCCCAAGGCCGCAGCCCAAAGCCCTAGCCCAAAGCCCTAGCCCAGAGCCTTAGCCTAGAGCCCTAGCCCGGAGCCCTAGTTCAGAGCCCTAGCCCAGAGCCCTAGCCCAGAGCCCTAGCCCAGAGCCCTAGCCCAGAGCCCTAGCCCAGAGCCCTAGCCCAGAGCCCTAGCCCAGAGCCCTAGCCCAGAGTCCTATCCTTGTCCTAGTCTTAGCTCTAATTCTTCTATTAGTTCTTAGCTTTGGTATAAGCCTTACCTTTGACTCTAGCTTCAGTCAACGCTCTGACAGGCTATTCAAAGCCAAAGCCTTAAGGCTTTTGATTAGCATTATTATATGCGTTAGCCTACAGACCTAAGTCTACGAGCTTTAACCAGATCTTGTTTAGTAGCTTTGCGTGACTGAGCCTTACTTCTTATACGTAGGTATATTGGACTTTACCTTTTGTTATCTTTTTCTGTTAGTTCTTCTTTAGTTCTTTTTACTTGTTACTCTAATGATTTACTATTATCTTTTCTTTAACTGTCACTTTAAATTAGCTTTACTTTATTGCATATTTATCCTAAAATATCTTGTATGTTCACGTTGGCTTTTTTCTTGAAATACTTAAGATTGTAGGTTTTTATTGTAGTATATTGAGTATTCCTTTCTCTTCTATTGAGCTAATTGGGAACGGTTGAATTTTTCTTTATTTAGAACGCTATTATAGGATATGTTGTGAATGGGAACTAGTTTCTTAGACTACATCCTTGCCATGGTTGGGCCGGGACTTTTGGTCTGTGGGCGGAGGTCGAAAAAATCGGTACAGATACCTCTGCCAATTTTTCGCGAAACTTTTTTTCCAAAAATCCACAGGGGGGACCACGTTCAACTTTTTTCGGAAATTTTTTAATTTTTTCTAAGGGGGGGGGGGGTGTAAAAGATTGAGTTCGTACAACTTCTAGATCAAAATACTATCAATACCAAACTTTAGATTCTTTCAACCGCGCGTTCAAATACCAATAATACAGATAAAATACAAAAATGATAGGTTTATTCAACCACAGATAGTACAATATAAAATACGACGCTATGTGTACGTACAAACAGAATAGATAGACTTAGACCGATCGGCGGTCAAGAAGCGAGACGTCGATTTACAGAAGACGACCGAGCGGCGGTCGAGCGAAAAGGAAGACTGATTGAGAAAGTGAAATTCGAATTGAGACGGTTCAATTTATGCAAATTGAATCGATTCGAATACAGGGGGGGGGGGTTCAAAATTAAATTTTTTTATTTTTTAATTTTTTTTAAAATTTTTTTAAAATTTTTAAACTTTTTTCGATTTCAAAAAAAATTTTCATTTTTGCACTATATTTTGTTACCTATTCATACCCTATTGATTGTTCAAAACTTTTTACAATTATTGTTTCAATTTCCATGCGCGCTCGATTAGTCACGGCGCGTCAACTTTCATTGTAAAACGCTAATCCACTATGTACTATTGTTATGGTTTTTTGTTTTTTACTGAGTAATTTCAGGCGTTTTGCATAGTGTCCAAAATGTTGTCCTTTAAATAATTTGTGCTCGAGGCGAAAAGCGGAAAGAGATGAACTTGGACACGTTCAAGTGGTTTGGTCATGTTATTCTCGCCATTCTTCTTCATGGTAAGTTTTTTATGATTGTTAAAAAAGAAGTGTACTAAGTTATACATATACCCTAGTATATATGTAGGTGTATATGTTTGGTGGTCCTAATGGTACAATTCGGCTTATAGATCAGGGTTTACGCTTATGCTTAGATTTGAGCTAGGCTTAGGGTTAGGATTAGGTTTAAAGTTAGGTTTAAGCTTAGGCATATACTTAGGGGTAAGCTTAGGCTTAGGCTTAAACTTAAGCTTAGTTTTAGACTCAAGCTTAGGCTTAAACTTAGGCGTAGGCTTAGACTCAGGCTTAGACGCAGGCTCAGGGTCAGACTTAGGCCCAGGCTCAGACTGAAGCTTTAACTTATGCTCAGGCTAAAGCTGAGGCTGAGGCTGAAGCTGAAGACTGAGAAACTTAAGCTTAAGCTCAAGATCAGGCACAGGCTTAGGCTTAGGTTCAGGCACAGGCTCAGGCTCAGGCTCAGGCTCAGGCTCAGGTTCAGGCACAGGCTCAGGCTCAGGCTCAGGCCTAGACTCAGACTTAGGCTCACGCTCAAGATCAAGCTCTGGTTCAGGTTCTGGTTCAGGCTCTAGCTCTGGATCTGGCTCAGTGTCAGTTTCAGGTTTAAACGTAGACTCAAGCCCAGGCTCAGGTCCTGGTTCAGACTCAGGCCCAGGCTTAAACTTAAGCCCAAGATGAAGCTCATTTTTAAGTTCAGGTTTAAGTCCAGGCTGAAGCTTAGCTTAAATTTTGGGTTTAGTCTTTTTTTTTCTAGTTTTATGATATACTCATACTGTGTAATACTAATACTAAAAAATCACTAGGATTTTTTTCTTTTGTGATGAACCTTAAAATTCAAATTTCGAAACGTGTTTGGAGACGTTGAACGAAACAATATAATTGAAGGCTTACTTCTCACTTTGCCAAACTCATTTCCTTAATTGTCCTTCTGTTTCTTCCTTTTTTACTCTGTGTAGCACTTTTAAGCACCGAATCATGAAATGTTTACTAGGTTGCATATCACGGTTTTGCAAGTTTTTCGCATATTTAATTGAAGCTTTTTTTTGCGGTTTATAAGGTTTTAAGCCTAGCCTTAGCCATACCCAATCTAGAATGTTTAAGCTTAGATTTAGGCTTAAGTAAAACTGGAGATTGGCTTAAACTTAGACTGACGCATAGGTACAAACAAGCTGTAGCTTAGGTTTAGACGTAATATTAAAGTGAGGCTTAAGCTTGGGTTTAGTTTTGAGTTTTGGCTAAGCTTTAGGTCTAAATTTTGACTTAGGCTTAAGCTTAAGCTCAGGCTCAGGCTCAGGCTCAGGCTCAGGCTCAGGCTCAGGCTCAGGCTCAGGCTTAGGCTCAGGCTCAGGCTCAGGCTTAGGCTTAACATTCGCTTTGGCTTAAAGTTAGGCTCAAGCTCAACCTCATGCTCAGTCTCAAGCTCAGGCTCAGGCTTAAGTTCAGTCTGAAACCCAGGCTCGCCTCAAGCTTAGGCTCAGTGTGAAGCTCAGGCAAGCTTACGTTCAGCCTCAGGTTCAAGCTTAGACTTAGGTTTAGGCTCAAGTTCAAAATTAGGTTAAGGTTTTAATGCTACTTTTAAAAAATTTTAAATTTCAAAAAAGTTTAGAATTCTAGGTACAACGTTGTATTTAATCGGTGTAGAAAACAAATCAGTGGGTTATAACAAATCTGTTTCCTCCGGTGAATTTGCTTGTTTTTGTGTCTGAAAAGAAAGAGATGCTTCAATTCCGGAGCCATCTAAAGAGCCTCCTTAAAGCAATACTTTTTAAGGACGGGGAGGAAGTACGCGCCCAAACTAAAAACGAAAGGGAGGGGTGAGCTGTTGTGGGGTAGGCATCTGGAGGGAGGGGGGGAGGGACTGAAGCTAGAAAATTAAGTTTTTTTGGGTAAGGCATGACTTTTAAATGGGGGGGGGGTGGGCATATTAAAGAAGAAGACCAAGCGGGATTCTTTTGGGCAGGGTATTTTGAGCAAGGGTGGATATTTTTGGGCAAAGTATAACGTTTTTGTGGGTATGACAGTGCTTTTTGAGGAAAGGTGGTTTGAGTATGGCAGGCTTTTTAAGAATATGTGCTGTTTAAGCGGCAAAAAATGGCAAGAACTTTGTTTACAAAACTAAAAATTGCAAGAACTTTGTTTACAAAACAAAAAATAGCAACAACTTTGTTTAAAAACCAAAAAATGGCAAGAACTTTCTTTACAAAACTAAAAATTGCAAGAACTTTGTTTACAAAACAAAAAATAGCAACAACTTTGTTTAAAAACCAAAAAATGGCAAGAACTTTCTTTACAAAACAAAAAAATGATTAAAATTTTGTAAAGAATTGTCATTTTTTAAATATTGCCAGGGTAAAAACGAAGAGCTCAGTAGCGAAGATGGGCGGAGACTATAAAAACCCTTTGGCCCTTCTTCATGGCCCATAAGATACTTTTTGGTTGTGGAAAAAAATGCTTTTAATAAGCGATCTACACGCTTTTTGACAAGTTTCAAGAACAGCGAATGATGGGTTGACAAGTCTGTTGTATAGACTAAAACGTTTTTTTTGGGAAAGAAGGCTAGCCTAGGATTCTAGAAATTAAAAGGTTAGGGAGAGGGAGGGTTAGAAGTGGACTTAGTTTTCGGGCTTAGAATTAAGCTCAAACTCACGGGTGAAGCCTAGGCTTAGGATTAGGCTTAATGTTAGGCTTAACCTGAGGCTTAGGCTGAGGATCTGGCTTAGGCTTAGGCTTTGGCTTAGGCTTAGGCTTAGGCTCATTTGAAATTGATGTTTTAGTTCTGGTTTAGTTTGAGGGTTTGGTTTAGGCTTAGAATTGGACTTAGGTTTAAGATCACTGCGCAGTCTGCAGTAACTTCGGACGCAAACTGCGGAATGCAAAATGTCCGTTTTTTAAAATAATTTTTAATAATATTATGATTTGCAATATATCTATGGGTTTGGCGTGACTTTTATAATTTTCCTGTTGCTATAAAAAATACAGTACTTTTGCTTCCAGGTACAGTAACTCACTTTGTCTATGCTTTATACCACTATATCGCCTCCTACATACCATTGTTGATGTAAACTATTGTTATTTCTACATATTTCTGTTCAAAACAAGGGTTTTGCAACTCCGTATTATATTATTCCTTCTGCTTTTGGCGCAAAATTTTTATTGGAACATAAAGTTTGGCCGAATTTTATGTCCAATTTCCTCGCTGTTTCAATTTTGTGACACCGCCTAGGTGGGAATGTTATAATTTGTGGTGTAACTTGTTGTTATTTAACTATTTTAACTTACTTTTAGTCTTAGTTTTGTAAAATAAGTTCATATTTCTTCTTTTTATAAGTTTATGATATTGTAGTAGGTTGGGGGTCTAAAAATAGTTGCTGAATTGTTGTAGGTCGTCATATCACTGCACTCTTTGGTCTTAATGACAGCCAACACTCTATAGTATCATTTCTGAAAGTTCTAGCCATTTATCTAATCATTGTCTAAAGTTACATTAAATTTTATATTACACTTGACATCAACTTGCCCTTCAAAGTTTAATGTCTTAGAACTTTTGTGTCAAACATTATATTAGTACCAACATTAGTGCCAACGTACTCAATAGTATTGTACACATTAATATAACATTCGTTTTGTCATACAATTGTAACTGTTTCTGCCAGTCGGCTTTTTCCTTGACTCATCCCTCTAACTCCTTAATCTTGTTGTTTGCTTGTTTTTTGGTCTAAAATAGTATGTTAAGAGTACAGTGACGTAACGTACTAAGTGTCATATTAACACTAGTGCTCTACAGTACCTTCAGACAGCATTTGGGGTTTTGTACTATATAGCATCAACAAGAAAAGTTGATTTTTTTTTACTTTTACCCCTATTTTTGCACAAAAAACGGCGGTTTAAGCTGTTTAAACCTTTGGTACTACTATTACGCTAACTGTACCAACTTTATATTGCCTTTATATTATTGGGAAGATATCAAAGATTCATTATATCAACAATTTACCGTAGAATAGCGGTTGGAATAGTACCGTTAGGACCAAAAATGAAGCCAATATGGGTATTAAACTGGCTTTGCGGCTGCACTCTGGCCAATACTCTAAAGCATTATCAAGAATATTTAGCACTAGATCGTGCTGAAGCCAGTTCCGACCAGCTGAAGTTGATACAAGACCTACTGGACAGCTATGACAATAAAGCGAAGCCGACTTGGGACGTGTTTCGACCGGTCAACGTCACCTTCAGCATGGATTTATATCAGTTATTGGAGTTGGTAAGAGGGTTTTTGAGTCTTTTAAAGAGAATGTGCAAGGTAGGGTAGTGTAGAGTAGTGTAGAGTAAGGTAGGGCAAGGCAGTACAGGGAAGGGTAGGGTAAAGTAAGAATAAAAAATGACTCTTTTGAATGTTTTTAGGTATCAAAAATGGGTTTTAGTTATAATTTTGAAGGTTAAAATTCAATTTTAAGTCTATTTCAACAAAATTCTAATTTTTAAAAAATGGAAGTTGAGTGGAAGATTTTCAGTGCAAAATACATTATAAATCTTCCACCAAACTTCCACTCTCAAAAAAGTGCTAAAAACGTGTTTTTAGGTTGTTTTAACACATTTTAAAAGTGGAATTGCAGTGGAAGATTTTCAGTGCAAATTACATTACAAATCTTCCACTTTCGAAAACTGCTTCATTTTTGGCTTGTAAACAAAGTTTCTGCTATAATTTGTATGGATATCATCCAAAAATGGCATTTTTCCGAATTTCAAAATTAATTTGTTTTTAGTTCAAAAAAACGTTTAAAAACGATTTTAAAGCCGGAAAAAACAAAAGGAAAATCATTTGTTTCAAGATATAAACATGGTCGTCTGACAACGTTAGTAATAGGTATTTACTGGGGTAAATAACAAAAAAATTGCAAGAACTTTCTTTACAAAACAAAAAATGGCAAGAACTTTCTTTACAGCTTATATTCTGATCGTTTGCCTTTATTACCAGCCAAAGACTAGCATCATTGTCCAGTAAATTATAGGGTGTCACGTATATTTAGTTTTTACTGCAGCCAACGATTAAACAAGAATAGGTACGAAAGGAAATGGACGAAGAAAAACGGTTTGAAATGGGTTTCCGCTAGCGACAAATTTCAATTTTTAATCTTCTAAAATGTTTGTAAAGAAAGTTCTTGCGGTTTCTTAATATGTAAAAAAAGTTTTTGCCATTTTTTGTTTTGTATAGAAAGGTATAACAAACAAATTTTGAGCCATTTTCATTAGTATAAACAAAGTTATAGTATTTTTAAAAAAAGTGAAAGATAAGTGGAAGATTTGCAATATATTTTGCACTGAAAATCTTCCGCTCAACTTCCACTTCTGAAAAGTGTCAAAAACGTGTTTTTAGGTCATTTTAAGACATTTTAATAATGGAAGTTGGGTGGAAGATTTTCAGTGCAAATTACATTACAAATCTTCCACTCAACTTCCACTTCTATTAATATAACCGCTCATTTTTGGGATTGCAGAGAAGGTTTTAGCTCTTGGCAGCTAAATAAATAGCATTTGTTGTACATTTTTAATATTTTAACTTTTATATTTTTAGAATGAACCTCAACAATACATCTTACTCAACGCATGGATCATTGAGGTAAGTCTACTTTAAAGTTCAATGTAAAAAAAGTTACTGTAGTTTAAAAATTTTTGCATTTTTATTAGGTGTAAAATACGTTAGAGGTTTTTTCTGCGATTATACCATAATTTTTTTAACCTTTTTTTACAATTTTGTACGTAAGGTTACGGTAGTTGTAAAAATACATAGAAAGATTACTGTAACTTTTATAGAAGTAACATAAAATTTGTATTTCTAAATGATTTTTACATTCGAAAACAGTAACTGTACTTTTTTAAATGGGTTACTGTAAACAACAATCGGTTTTTACTAAAGTTTGTATGTAGGGTTACGGTACCTTTCAAAACCAGTACAAACCTTACTGTAAATTTTCAAAAAATGCATTTTAAAGTTAATTTTTGTAGCGTTGGCATGACGAATTTTTATATTGGAACCCACTGGATTACGGTAACATCAGCGAAGTACGATTACCACATCACTGTATATGGCTGCCAGATACAACCCTATATAACTCATTAGTAATGAAGGATGATGACACTAGAAGGTTACTGAATGCCAAGTTAACTACAAATACAACCAGGAAAGCAGCGCTGATAGAGTTACTGTATCCTACCATCTACAAATTCAGTTGCTTACTCAATTTGGTAAGTAGGGTAGGGTAGGATAGGGTAGGGTAGGGTAAGATAGGGTAGGGTAGGGTAGGGTAAGGTGGGTAGGGTAGGGTAGGGTAGGGTGGGTAGGGTAGGGTAGGGTAGGGTAGGGTAGGGTAGGGTAGGGTAGGGTAGGGTAGGGTAGGGTAGGGTAGAGTATTAATACGTGTCATTTCAGAGGTACTTTCCATTTGATCTACAAGTCTGTACGATGACCTTCAGTAGCTGGACGTACGATCAAAAAGGTATTGACTATCTACCGTACTCTTCAGAGATTGGTACTTCAAATTTCATTGAAAATGAAGGATGGTACCTTTTTAAGACTGCAAGTAAGTTTAAAAATTAATTTTATATCTATTTTTAGCTGTTTTTGAGTTAAAAATGACGTTTTGTCAAAGCTGAAAAAGTGGAAGTTGAGTGGAAGATTTGTAAGGTATTTTGCACTAAAAATCTTCCACGACATTTCCACTTTAAAAAATGTTAAAAACGTGTTTTTAAGCCATTTTAAAAAATTTTAAAAAGTGGAAGTTGAATGAAAGATTTTCAGTGCAAATTACATTACAAATCTTCCACGTATCTTCCACTTTTTTAAATTCAATTTTTTGGCTTTTATCTTCAAAAATATGGTCATTTCTTGTTTTGTGAAAAAAGTTATTGTCATTTCTTTGGGTATCCGAGGTTTTTTTAAATTTTTAAAATTTTTTGAAATTTCAAGATTTTCGAAAAAAAATTAAATTTTAAATTTTAGTAAAACGAGACGATGTAAAATACAGTTGTTGCCCAAACAACTACACCCTGCTTCGTTTGACGTTATTTTTACGTCGAAAGCCGTTGTTTTACTTGGTGAATTTGATCATTCCAACTGCCATTATCACTCTTATCGCTATCGTCGGATTCTTCACGTAGGTTTTGAACTTTTTTGTAAAATACGACCATCCCTTGTGTGTGCTTTGATTTTTATTAAAACAGTAGCTTCTAAAGCATATTTTTTCTTTATTCTTCATTTTCTTCAAATTTTTTAAAAAAGGACATGTTTTATCGTATAACATGTCTCTTGCAGCCTGCAGAGCTGCTTTTTTACGGATAATTATGTTAAAACGGGACTTTTTTAGATACAAAAATAAATTTTATGTGAAATAAAACTAATTTTGATTTTTTTTATAAAAAATTTTTGTAATTTTAAAATTTAAATTTTTGATTTAAATTAAATTTCTTTTTTCAGAACCTCATCAGCCAGTGGAATGAGAGAAGAAAAAGTATCACTTGGCATTACTACGGTATGAAATTTTTTATTTTATTCCGTTTTTGGATGCACATCCGTATTTTACAAAATTTAAAAAAAAATCTTGAAATGTTCGCGTTTTTTATGAAAATTATTTAAAAATTTGGATATTTTTTAAATATTTTTAAATTTGGGTAACTATAAATTTAAAATTTGGACTTTTTTAGGTTTTATTACTAATAATAGTATATAAAAACAATTTTTTTATTAAAATATATTATCCTTTACGAAGTATGTTTTCATAGCCTAGTGGATCGGGCGAAAACTTTTGGTGCGAAAGAAAGGGGGTTCGATTCCGACCAGTAGAAAAGCGCGAAAAAGGGTGCTTTGATAAAATAAAGTCAATTTTTGGACAAACTCTATTATTTAATCGTATTTTACAAATCAAAAGTATAATTTTAATTTGAACTTTATATGTTTTATTGAAAAATGTTTAAATTTTCTGAAAATTTAAGAAAAAATAGGTAATAAAACAAAAATAAGATAAAATACGGCGAAAAATAATGTAAAATACGGCGAGCCAAGACAATTGAAGCTGTACGTATAAAAGTTTTTTCAGCTGTTGTCAATGTCCATTTTAATGTTAATGGTGTCGGATCAAATGCCAACTACATCCACTTTTATTCCATTAATCGGTAAGGAGATGTTTGAACTTTTTGAACCCTAAATTTTTAATTTTTGAGTTTTTTTGTAATATTATAATCTATAACATTACTAAATGGAATTTTAAAAGGTCTTGAAAGTGCAAAACTTTTTAATTGTTTTAAAAAAGACCAAGGATTGAGTAAGAATGATGGATAATATAATTGCACGGTGCAAAAATATAAAATGCCATAACTTTTTGATGCTTTTTTGAAATATAGTGAAACTTGACACCTATGTAGTGTATGGTACTGTTAATGGTACTCTGGCACCGTTTTTAGTGATTTTGTTTCGTTTTGGAGTTATGACAATTTATGTCTCATATGGCTGATTTTTGGTGAAAATAATTTAAAACAATGTCATTTTTGATTGACTTAACAAAAACAATTTATTTTTTGTGCAATATAGTACTATAGTATTGTGCATTTTTGGGTAAAACCGTTTTTATTTTCGTACGTACAAAAAAGAATGGAAACACTTTTAAGGCAGCTGTACAAAAATTGAAAATTTTAGCTTTTTTTTCGAAAAAAATGCCATTTTTGATTAAGACCTCAGGTTAAAACGTTAAAAAAATGATTTTTAAGAGAGCTCTAGTAGTACCATTTTTAATTTACAGTCAACAAGAATTATTATTTTTTAAGTTTTTTGCGTTTAGGCTGGTTTATATTGGGAATGATCATAGTCATCTCCTCTGGAACTCTAGCTTCTTCGGTGGTGATCGCAGTTCAAAAGAAGGGCCGAATGGGTGAAAGGTTGAGCTCAAGAGCTGTGAAGATCACCAGATTCTTTGGGTACATCTCAATATCAGACGTTCCGTTGCATTTGAGGAAAGGCACTAAGGTAGGGAGGGTTAAATTTTTAATTTTATTCAAAAATTTGAAATTTTGGAAAATTTTTTATCGACTGGTCGATAATTTTTGGGGTCAAATATAGTTTAAAAAGGCATATTTTGGGCTTGGCAAACCTAAAAAAAGATTTTATGAAATTTAAAATTTTTTTAAAAATTTTTATCGACCGGTCGAATATTTTTTTTGGCTAAAAATGCTTAAAAAGGCAAAATTTTAGGTTCAGCTGTCCTAAAAATTGAGGTTTCAAGAAAAAATTTTTTTTTTTTAAATTTTATCAACCGGTCGATAATCTCCCCCTAAAATTCCTATCAAAATGCCATACCCTATTCCTTCAGGAACACGCCGAAGCCCCACCACTGAACGAAGCCTACAAAAAGTCGGTGAAAATTCAAAAGAAACTGGACAAGGTTGGGGCCGAAGAGGACGCGAGGAAGAAGAGTTCGGTGGTCAACTTTTTTCGACGAAAAGCCACAAATCAAAACGGATTATCGACCGACAAGAGTACGGATCCGTTGGTTACGGCCGCTTTTCGTGAGTTTTTTGGGTTTTAACGTGTTTAATTTGTCATTTTTTTGTTATGTAAGGACTGGGAAAGTGTGATACTGATAAAATTGGCACTTGTAACAGAAGGCCAAGTTTGGCGGGAAAATTAAAATTTGAATTTTTTGAAAAATTTATTGTTTTTATGGATGTTATAACCGTTTTGTAACAGTTTTTGAGGTTTTTAAGTTACTAGTGGGCTAAATTGACACTTGAAACAAAATGCCAAATTTGGCGAGAAAACTAAAATTTGAATTTTTTTATCATTTTTCGTTAGAATATAGCAGTTAAAAGATTTTTATTTGTATCGCAGTACATTTGTAAACTGTAACAAAGTAAAATTTTTACTTGAAACAGAATGCCAATTTTGGCGCTATTTTGAAAGTTCAAATTTTTAAGCTAAAAACGTCCTTTTTTGGTCATAATAACTTACTTTTTAAACTTCAATGTTGAAAAAAGTCATTTTCAGAATCAGAAAATGGTCATTCCAATCCGGCCGCATCGGCCGAGACCCCACTACATATTGCTTTTGATGATACGATTAGTCAAGGCGACTCAGAGAACGCCGAGTCTAAACAAACCACGGCACGGTCAAATCGGATGGCCAAGGATCGGATGCTACAACATATCGGGGTCTTTAATGGTAAGATTTTTACTTTGTATACAGTTTGCGGACTGTATTTTGCAGCTTAGACAATTTTTGGGTTCTGCAGCCTGCGAAAGCTCGGGCGCAGGCTGGAAAAGTCAAAGCTTCTTTTAAAACTGACTTTGATGTTTCGACTGACAAAAACTAATGACTGTACTAATAAAAGTGCATTAGCAGGTTTCAATTTCACTAAAAAAAGCCTAGCTTGTCGTGTCGAACAAGACAAGTGACATTTTATGTTATTCATGAATGACTTGAGCTCTAAAAACCTCAAAAAATGGTGTTTCGAACGTCATTTTCTATTACTTCCGAGTAAAAGCAAAGATTTTAGAGAGTATTTTTGGATGTTTAAAATTTTAAATCACTCTTTTTAAATTTTCGTTTTTTCGAAAAAATTACAAAAATTTTTTACTTTTAGTATCAGACTGCCATTTTTAATGAAATACCATCTTTTATTTTGAAAAATACTTTTTTTGATCTTGGAAACATTGCTCTAGTCATTTTTTTAAGATTTAAACCACATTTTGACATTTTTAGAAAAGTGGAAGTTGAGTGGAAGATTTGTAATGTATTTTACACTAAAAATCTTCCACCTAACTTTCACTTTTAAAGAATGTTAAAAACGTGTTTTTAGACAAATTTAAGAAATTTTAAAAGTGGAAGTTGGGTGGAAGATTTTCAGTGCAAATTACATTACAAATCTTCTACTTAAATTCCACTGTCAAAACTACTTGTTTTTGGGCTTGTAAGGAAAGTTCTTGCTATTACTAACCGTTTTAAAGTAATTTAGCCGCACTGGCAGAGACTACTCAACTTTTTTGGCCATTTTCAAGTTTAAAATTTTTTAAAATTTTAAAATTTCGAAATATTTAAAATTTTCAAAATTTCGGAAAGTCTAGTTTGTTATTACATGTTTTGGGTAATGCAAGCCTCTTCTGGCTCTGAATGACTGTTTATTCCGGTGTTCATGAATTTCAGAATAAATAATTTTGAAGGGATTTCGAGTTCTTTTTACTTGATAAATGAGCCTTTACTGACATTTCAGAGATCTTTTAGGGTCGGGTAAAGTAGGGTAGGGAACATCTTTAAAACTTTTTTGATAAAAATAAGTTGCCAGTGCGGTAAATGACCAAAACTTTCTTTACAAGCCGCAATGTCTAGGTTTTTGTTCAGAAAATGGTTAAACCGTTCTTTATATTATTCATAGGCATTTACTGGGTAAATAACAAAAAAGCGCAATAACTTTGTTTACAAAACAGAAAATAGCAAGAATTTTGTTTACAGCCTAAAAAATGGCAAGAACTTTCGTTACAAAACGAAAAATGGCCAAACTATTATTTATAAATTTTAAAATAGAACGTCTTCAAAAGTGGAAGTTGAGTGGAAGATTTGTAATGCAATTTGCACTGAAAATCTTCCACTCAACTTCTAGTTTTAAAATGTTTCGAAATGGCCTAAAAACACGTTTTTTACACTTTTTTGGAAGTGGAAGTTTGGTGGAAGATTTTTTAGTGTATTTTGCACTGAAAATCTTCCACCCAATTTCCACTTGTAAAAACCTTAAAAGTAATGGTTTTAGGCCATTTCAAGACTTTTTAAAATGGAAGTTTGGTGGAAGATTTGTAATGTAATTTGCACTGAAAATCTTCCACTGATCTTCCACTTTTTTAAAATTGCCATAACTCTGTTTCTAGTCAAAATTTTTGAAAAAAAATGTTTTTGATACAGATATCTGATACTAATATCTATGTTTTATCACAATTTTATGACAATTAATAAAACATCATTTCAGAAAACGTCCGTCTAAGCCGTCAGCTAGCCCAAAAAGAGTACGAATGGCTGGCTACCGTAATGGAACGGTGCTTTTTTGGCATTTTCGTATCATTATTCTTGGTGATTAGTGTCGGCATCAACTTGATTGGCTATTGGCATTGGAGCGATGTTGAAAGTATTGTCAAAGAAAGGGCGAATCTCCTCGAACCGGAGCTTTGAAACTATTGATTTTTGAAGGGCTGAGGGGCTTAAAATTGACTGTTTTTTGGGTTTTTAGGTAACATTTGGGTTGAAGTTTAGATTAAGACTTATTTTTTTAGGGTTGTGGGAGAGGGGTGGGGTAAAAAATTTTATTTTATGAAATTTTAAGCAAAAAAAATTTTTAAATTTAAAAATTTTTTTGAAATTTTGAAAAATGTATCAAAAATGACATTTTTAGACCTAAAATAACGTTAGAAAACCCTCAAAATAGATTTTAATGCTAACGTGGGCTCACGACGCCCTTTATAAAACGTGGAAGAACAGTGGAAGATCTGTAATGTATTTTGCACTGAAAATCTTCCACTCAACTTCCACTTCTAAAAAGTGTTGAAAACGTGTTTTCAGGCAATTTTAAGACATTTTAAAAGTGGAAGTTGAGTGGAAGGTTTTCAGTGTAAATTACATTACAAATCTTCCACTCAACTTCCACTTTGAAAAAGTTGTTGTTTTTGGGTAGGTTTGAGAACAAAAGGGTAGGAAATGACATTTTGTGGGGCTCTTGGTTGTTTTAAGCCTAAATTCAGTCAGCGTTAGGCCTTCAGCTTTTTGAATTTTCAAAATTTTAAAGTTTTTCGGTCTAAAAGCCTATATAATTAGTGATTTTCTTGTTTTTAATCAATTTTTTACTGCTATTATGATACTTCACTTCGGCATTTCACTTTTTAAACGTTGTATTTTATGTTTTTTATCATTTTTTGTTTAAACTTTAAAAAAACATTTTTTTTATTTTTTTGAATTTTTGAAAAAAATCGTTTTTTAATCATTTTACCACATTTTTTTCATAATTTACTGTACTCTCATAGCCTTTACCTTACCTTATACTACTCGATTCGTCCAAATTATGGTCTCTTAACTTGACAAAATGGTACAACTGGTCCTATTCTTGAGTGTTTTTGGTCTTTCTTTTTTTGATGAATGAACAAATTTAACTTATGTTACTGTATGACATGTTATTTTAGATTACATGGTATGTTACCATGAAGATATTTGCTGTTTTTGGTCGATTTGTTTTGTTAATTATGAGTTACAGATGATGGTACGATGAGTACGGTATACCATTGCGCGATACGCGTCGTATTACTACTTGGCTTTGGGGTGAAGGCCGTTATTTACAGTAAGTTTTTGTACAGTATGCTTTGATATTAGGTTTTTTTTTGGGTTTGGGTCTAGCTTATCTTTTTTCGGCTCAGGGGTTTAGGCTTAGAGTTTAAGGTTTAGAGATTCTGGCTTAGAGGCTTTAGATTTAGTGGGCTCAGAATTGGTAGGCTTAGGGTTAGTAGACTTAGGCTTAGCAGGCTTAGGCTTAGTAAGCTTAGGCTTAGTGGGCTTAAGCTTAGCAGGCTTAGGCTTAGCAGGCTTGGGCTTAGCAAGCTTAGGCTTAGTAAGTTTAGCCTTAGTAGGCTTAGGCTTAGTAGGCTTAGCCTTATAATGACTATAAATACTAGTAAAATAGGCAGGTGATAAGGTTATGCCCCGAACAAATTTAGAGTAAGATCCCAGCACTCGCAGTCATTTGTTGGGTCGTTTTACACCGAGGCAGATATGACATAAAAACATAAAATTACATAAGAAAACGTTGCGCAACACGATTTCTGACAATTTCTCTAAGGCTATGAAATTAAATTATCAAAGTTATGTAAAGCGGCACATTTTTTGAGAGGAATCTTTTTTAATACTTATAGTATTATATTTTACTATTTATAATATTATATTTGAGGTTATACTTTAGGTGAATAAGCTTAGGCTTAACAGAATTAGGCTTAGCAGACTTAGTAGGTTTTTGCTTAGGCTTAGAGATAGGCTTAGGCTTAGTAAGCTTAGGCTTAGTAGGCTTAGGCTTAGTAGGCTTAGGCTTAGTAGGCTTAGGCTTAGTAGGCTTAGGCTTAGTAGGCTTAGGCTTAGTAGGCTTAGGCTTAGTAGGCTTAGGCGTAGTAGGCTTAGGCTTAGTAGGCTTAGGCTTATTAGGCTTATTTTGCACGATGAAAGAAATTTGTTTATACTCTCATTTTTTAGCCAGAGACAGTCGAGAAGGTCTCAAGCATGATCAAGTGCCTCAAGTACGGTTAGCACGTGACATCCTAGCACCCGGCCGCTACGATGTGCGCGTACGGCCGGTCCAGAACCATACGCGGCCGCTGAAAATCCACATCAGTATGAGTCTATATCAACTCATCGACGTCAACGAACCATCGCAGTTCATTCAGATGAACATGTGGATGATACAGAAGTGGGAGGACGAGATGCTGGACTGGGACCCACGGGACTACAGTATGATCAACACTACCATATTGCCACATCATGTCATTTGGATCCCGGATACATATGTAAGTGTAGTAAAAATGGCAAGGACTTTCTTTACAATACAAAAAATGGCAAGAACTTTCTTTACAAACTAAAAAATGGCAGGAACTTTCTTTACAAAACAAAAAATGGCAAAAACTTTCTTTACAGAACTTAAGATGTCATTTTCAGTTATACAACAGTGTAGTAATGGCAGCCGACGAAACGGAACGCTACATGAACATCCGTGCTGACACTTTGTTCTGGGAGGGTCGGCGTGGATCTCATATCTCCTTTCTATACCCAGCCATCTATACCATAACATGCCGGTTGAATATACGATACTTTCCTTATGATCAACAGAACTGCACCTTGACTATCAGTAGCTGGACTAACAGTAAATCAGCCGTGGATTACTACGCTGATCCTGAAGTCAATATGGCATCGTTCATACCTAACGAGGAGTGGAAGGTCATCTCATTCAAGGTTCATCGACATGAGGTAGGTAGGGTAGGGTAGGATACGGTATGGTAGGATACGGTAAGGGACGGAGGGTAAGGTACGGTAGTATAAGTAGTGGATGGTAGGGTATAGTAAGATACTATATGACAGAACAGGGTACTGTAGTGTGGGATGTCTATGGCAAGACACGGTACCGCTGCATACGGTAGCGGACGGCAGGATAAGGTACGATTGTTTAAAGGGGGAGGGGAGCAACCTCAGGGTAAAGTAGAGTACTGTATGATATCTTGCGGTAGTTAGGGTACTGTAGGGAATGGCAGGGTACGGTAGTATACGGTAGCGGAAGGTAGGTACGGTAGGATGGAGTAGGACACTGTACGGTAGGGCAGGGCGCGGTAAGGCATAGTACGGTAGGGTAGGGTATAGCAGGGTAGGGTAGGGTACGGTAGGATACGGTAGAGTATGGTAGGGTACAGTAGGATTGGGTAATGTAAGGTAGGATACTGTAAGGTGGGGTAGGGTACAGTAGTATATGGTACGCTATTATACGGTAGTGGATGGTAAGGTAGAACACAAATTACAGTACACCATTTCAGTACAAATACGCCTGCTGTCCGGAGCCATGGGTAATATTGGAGGCTTCTATTGTCATCAGACGTAAACCTTTGTACTACGTGGTCAACCTTATCATACCAACATCAATCATAACATTGGTTTCGATCACCGGCTTCTTCACGCCGGCTAGCACGGCCGATGATCGTACTGAAAAGATCAATCTTGGTATTACTACGGTAAGGAATGTCATGCTGTGCCAAAAATTTTTTTTAAATTATAAGTTTTTTGGTTTTTAAAATCTAGTCATTTTCTGACCATCACATCATTTAAATACCCAAATTTTAGCTGCTAGCCATGTCCATCTTGATGTTGATGATCTCTGATCAAATGCCAACAACTTCCGATTTCATTCCGTTAATTGGTAAGAACTTTGTTTACAAAACAAAAAATAGGCATAACTTCACTATATGAGGCCTAAAATGTCAGGAACTTTCATTTTATGACCAGAAAATTGACTTAGAAAAGTGGAATTTGAGTGGAAGATTTGTAACGTATTTTGCACTGAAAATCTTCCACTCAACTTCCATTTTTAAAAATTGTTTAAAACGTGTTTTTAGGCCATTTTGAGTCTAAAATGGAAGTTAAGTGGAAGATTTTTAGTGCAAATTACATTACAAATCTTCCACTCAATTTCCATTTTTCAAACCCTCTATTTAGGTCACAACCCCTAAAAAATGACAAAATCTGCCTTTTCACCCCATTATCAGTCTATTTTCAGCCTGGTTTTACTTATCAATTATCATAATCATCTCGATTGGCACCTTCCTGACGTCGGTGATATTAAGTATCCAAGGCCGACGTCAATACGGAAAACTGCCTCCAGTTTACATACGATACTGGTTCTTTTCGAAATTTACCGTCTGGTTTTGTGTCGGCATCCCACCGCCGTTGGCAGTGCTTTGGGAGGAGTTGCACGTAAGTTTTTGGGGGCGGCAGACTGCTCGGGACATGTTATACGATGAAAGGGATTTTTGTGGCAAAATAAAGAATTTGAATGTGCACCAGAGGCGCGATACTTAAAGTTTTGGATTTCCAATACAATGTTTCACTTTGTTTACTTTTTGAGTTTGGGCTGCAGGCTGCGAGGGACATGTTATACGATGCAACGTGTTTTTGCCATTTTTAATTGACATGATAAAAAACATGAAAATAAAAACTATTTTTAAAATCTTTTATGTCTAGCGTATGAAAAATATTTGATTTTAAGTACTATTTTTTCATAAATTTAGCCTTTGCAGCCTGCAAGTGACATGTTATACGATGAAACACGTCCTTGTAATTTATCGGAAAAATTGAAAAGATGATAAAAAATACGTTGATAATGCACAAAAAATTTTAAAAAATTAAAATTTTCCATTTTCAGGATCACCCCTTTTACACATTTAACAAAAGAAAACACGCCATCTCGTTACCTGGTTCTCTGATCCCTGATCGGCCGATCTTACAGGTAATTTGCCATTTTTCGTATTTTATGACCATTTTTACATTCATATATGTAAATCCTATATTTAAGCCATCTTATTTTAGTCCCAGCCCTCAATTAAAAACGACCCAGCACCTCGGCTAGCTCATGTCGACTCGCCTGGATCACCTAAACATCTAGGTATACCTCAATCAACTAGGTCGCGACATAATTGGCTGAGGGTCGGAAGTGCGATTCGAAGAGCGAAGCCAGAAGAGAAGAATAATATTGTGCCTATGATTGACATTAGTACGCCAGGAAGTGTCACTAGTAGTGCAGCCAACTCGAGACGAACTTCCATGTGGGACCAGACTGTAGCTTCTGTTAGTGTGGCTACTGGAAGGCTTATGGGTAAGTTATCCCAACTCTACAATACCGTACCCTACCCTACCCTTGTTTTTTCTAGCCCTACTTTCTCATTTCCCCTACCCTACTCTGCTTCTTACTGTACTTGAAGCCTTTAGGCCTCAAATCTAGGCCTAGCTCAAAAAAAATCAAAGGTGCCGCCCCACCGGTCTTGTTTCTCATTTTACCATACCCTACCTAAGGTACCGTACCCTAGACTAGGGCTAAGCCAAATCTATCCCCTACCTTTATCAAATCTAGGCCTGCCATGTCCTACTCTATTCAACCCAGCCTCCCCTACCTTACCCTACTCTGCTTTGCTTTGCCTTACCCTACCCTAACCTTCTCTACCCTGCCCGACTTTGCTTTACCTTGCCATACCCTACCCTACTCTACCCTACCGTACACTATCCAGCCTTACCCTACTCTACCGTACCGTACACTATCCAGTCTTACCCTAGCCTAACCTACCGTACGCTATCCTGCATTACTCTAACCCTGATTTAATCATTGCCTAAACAAGCCTAGCTCTAGATCCACTACGCTTTTTCCCAACCCTTTTCATTGCCCTGTCCTACCTTAGAAACCCTTTCATAACACCCCTTTACATTTTCAGGCCTAGACAAAGAGCCCACCGCCCGCCGTACCTCAGCCATGATTCAAGCCGATGTCTTGAGTATGAAACGGAAACGGCAGTGCTCTCTGGAATGGGAGTTCTTGGCCACGATTCTGGACAGGATATTCTTGATCTTCTTTATTCTTATCGTAATCATCACCACCTTGGGCATGATGTTAACGGGTCGTGTGGCGCAATATCAGTATGACCAGGAGGAGTTTTGACGTGGAGTACTGTAACTTTAAAATTTATTAAAATTTTTGGTTTTTTGGGTACTCTATGAATACTGTAGGTACAGTAACCTATTCTTCAAAAATTTTTTTTATTACTGTACATTCAAAAACATTTTTTTATAGTTTACGGTACCTTCAAACTCCGGTCAAAAACTCCATAGCATTAGAAAAAGCCATAACGGTCACTAACTTATACCTGTGAACAATATTATACTGTATAATTGCGTCTTTTCCATTTCCTACTGTAATTTTTTCATTTTTTCTTCACTTTAGCCTACAGTAATATAACTATTGTTATTGTCTTTCATATACAAATCTTTTTTTTTAATTTTATTTCTTAATTCGTATTTTACAATCTTTTTCGTATTTTAGGCCATTTTTTCACTTTATGCAAACTTAAAAATTTTTTTGAAATTTTAAAATTATTTTGAAATTTAAAATTTTTACTAAAATTTTTTAAATTATATTGCCCAATCGTATTTTAAAAGCTTTTAGCTGCTTCAAATTTTTAATCTTATGTCTGCTAGTGCCTCACATATCTATATTATAATTAAGCTTTTTGAAACTCTTTCATTCATACTCAAATGACAATTTTTTAAAATTGTTTTTAAAATCAAAAATAAAGTTTTAATTATTGATTATTAGGTTTTGTATTCTGCTTTACTTTACTCTTCCATACCCTACTATACCCTACATTCCCCTACTCTATTCTACTCTACCGTACCCTACACTACCGTACCCCGCTCCACCCTAACTTACCATACCCCACCTTACCTAGAAATGAATCAGGCAGGTCGTCTGTTTCAAAAAGTATATTAAAAACGCCAAAAAAGCCGTTTGACCCCGACGTGATTCGAACACGCAACCTTCTGATCTGGAGTCAGACGCGCTACCGTTGCGCCACGGAGTCACACTTTAGAAACGTGCGGGAGTAGTAAAGAAAAGTAGTTGTGCGAAAATTATGGGACGTCACACATCGCCAATCTAGCTTTATATAATAGTATAGCTTGTTGGTACACAAAACATTTCATAATATGTTACGGTATCCTACCGTCCACTACCTAACCTACACCATTGTATCTTTTACTGTCTTACCCTACCCTACCATACTCTACATTGCCTTGTCCTACCCTACTAACTTATCCTCCCTCATCTCCCCTGCCCGGACCTACTCTATCCTATACTATACTAACCTACAACATCCAGTTATAACAACACTACGTTACGGTACCATATGCCCTCCCCTCGATTTATAACCAAAATAATTATCAATTTTGTTTTTTAATTTTTCATTTCTTTATGACAATCCAACAGCCTCTTTATAAAGCTGGACGAGAGCATTGAGTTCGGGAGTTGAGTTTAACATACTCATCTTGTATGGACTGTTGTTGCAGATGGTCACTGATGGAAAGTTAATTTCTTCGTCACTCAACTGGAAAAATGTTTTACGAAATTGCAAAAAGTGTCTTTACAAAACATGAAATGGCAAAAACTTTCTTTATAAAGTCTAAAATAGAACGTTTAAGAAAGTGGAAGTTGAATGGAAGATTTGTAATGTATTTTGCACTGAAAATCTTCCACTCAGCTTCCACTTTTAAAATTTCTTAAAATTGCCTAAACACACGTTTTTAGCACTTTTTAACGATGGAACTTCGGTGGAAGATTTGTAATGTATTTTGCACTGAAAATCTTCCACTCAGCTTCCACTTTTAAAATTTCTTAAAATTGCCTAAACACACGTTTTTAGCACTTTTTAACGATGGAACTTCGGTGGAAGATTTGTAATGTATTTTGCAATGAAAACCTTCCACTCAACTTCCACTTGTAAAAATCTCAAAAATGACGGTTTTTGGGCATTTCAACACATTTTAGAAGTGAAAGTTTGATGGAAGATTTTCAGTGCAAAATAAATTACAAATCTTCCATTCAACTTCCATTGCCAAAGCTTCCGTTTACCTCAACCTGAATCGACGTATCATAATCTAAGTACGATTGTACTGTGGTAACAAGCAAATACGCGAATCCAATCCATGTGGCTGTTACTAAGATGGCCCAAATAATGATAGTAATTACTGATCTGGCTTGGGCCAGGTGAGGTATACCATGACATGAGCAAAGTCGACCCCATTCAGCTACTGTGTCGCGGAAACGTCTGAAAACAAAGTTGTTGCCAGTTTTTGATTTGTAAAGAAAATTTTTGCCATTTTTTGTTTCGTAAAGAAAGTTCTTGCCATTTTTTGTTTTGTAAAGAAAGTTCTTGTCATTTTTTGTTTTGTAAAGAAAGTTCTTGCCATTTTTTAGTTTGTAAAAAAAGTTCTTGTCTTTTTATGACCTGTAAAAAAAGTTCCTGCGCCTACCTCGACCTAGGCTTGTTCCTCAGCTCTTCTTCCCTCTTTTTGGCCCTCTCAACATCGGCCAAAGCGGCCAAAACGTCGCGGTCTCGAAGCAGAAAATCGACCGGTAAAGTCTTAGTCTTCTTCTTTCTCTGTCTCAAGCCGGAAGCTGGTGTACCATTAGTACCAGTGTCTTTTGGTCCTGATGCTGAGGTTTTTGCGTCTTTAGTAGGTAACGTAGGGTTAGGGTTTGAAGGACCAGTTACAGTAAAATTAGATGACACTTTTGGTCCTACTGGTGCAGATGGTACAAGCTGAGGTGCTGGAGCAATGGATGACATTTAAAAAAAAACTGGCTGTGAAATGAAAAAAAAATATAAAAAAACCAACAAACGTTGGGGTAAAAGGGTAAATGAAAGTAGGCCAGTTGCCTAGATACTGTTTTTAAAAATTCTTTAAAACAATGACATTTTTTCAAATTTTGAAATTTCGAAAAAAAAACGTTTTTTGATCTGATAAACATCATATCAACGTAAAACAACCTAATATATCAATAGAAATCCACGTTTTCGGACCTGACCCTGAGAATCAGGGTTTTCGTGGTAGGACCAACCTTAGCAATAAAGAAAGAAATTAACCTAACTAGTTTACCCTACCCCCTAGAGCCAAAAACTACATAAAACAACTCAAAGCCAAGCCAGAAAAACTTCTAGTACACTCAATATCAAGCCGGACCCATTCACAAAAAAACACAATAAAAATACGTTTTCAGTCGATAAAACAAACTGGTTGATTCAAATATAAAAACCAATCAATGTTTATTACAACAATATTATTATGATATATCAATTATTAGAAAGAACAATATTATTAGCCAACAGTTATTAAAAAAAACAATAAAAGTGATATTACAGTAGTGATGAGTGTTATAATAGATGATAAACATATGTATAATATAGAACATGGAATGAAATTGCTTTACAATACTCAATATGGCAAGAAAATTGTTCAAATTACTCAAAATAGCAATAACTTTCTTTACAGACCCTAAAATTCAGACTTTTTTAAAAGTGGAAGTTTGGTGGACGATTTGTAATGTAATTTGCGCTAAAAATCTTCCACTCAACTTCCACTTTTAAAATTTCTTAAAATAGTCTAAAAACACGATTTTAGCACTTTTTAGAAATGGAAGTTAAGTGGAAAATTTTCAGTGTAAAATACATCACAAATCTTCCACTTAACTTCCACTCTTAAAAAGTGTCAAAAACGTGTTTTTAGGCCATTCTAAGACAATTCAAAAGTGGAAGCTACGTGGAAGATTTTCAGTGCAAAATACATTACAAAACTTCCACTCAACTTCCACTTTTTAAACAACGTCAAAACTTGGTTTAAAACTCAAAAGCAGGCTAGGACTTCGTTTCCGATGACACGGAAGACTATTTTTTATGATAAAAAGTTCGTATTTCATTAAAAATGGCATTACTACCCTAATTTTTTTTAAATTCAAAATTTTAACACAGCCATTTAAAAAAAAATAAATTTTTTTCATTTTCACCCAAAGTTTGTTCAAAAATTTTAAATATCCAAGCCCTAGTGGCTTGGTCTGATGCTTCTCCATCCCACCACGCCCTAGAAACTTGATCATGCTTGTACTACGCCCTATTGACTAGGCTTGATGGTTGTTCTTTCCATATACTCCATCATGAAGCCTGGGTCTTCTTGTAGGGTAGTGTAGAGCCAATTATTGAAACTTTTGGTCATGGCCAATGCGCAATTTGGCGGGATTTTCAAATTTGCAAAAAGTCGTGGATCTTTGTGAAACTTCCAACATAGCTGCTTCATGGTTCTGATATTGTTCTGGGTGAAGACTTTGGTGTATATGTCTTGATTAAATCTGGCTAGCCATACTCGGATGTCTGTATCTTGTACTATTTGAGTATTATGTAAAAGAGATTGGTTTTTGTGACGGTCCCCCATCTCGACATCACTCATCATTTGGACGAAACGACGGAAAATGTCATCACCATAAATCTGGAACGGTCGAAAGTTACAAAATTTCAAAATTTTGAAAACTGCATTAACTTTCTTTAGAAAACCGCAATAACTTACTTTACAAAGAACAAAATGAAAAAATTTTTCACTAAAAGGTTTGTAATAGCCTATACTTTCTTTTCATCTCAAAAAAATAACGAAAACTTTGTTTACAGACCCCAAAAATCAATTTTAAAACAAGTGGAAGTTGAGTGGAAGATTTGTAATGTATTTTGCACTAAAAATCTTCCACTCAACTTCCACTTTTAAAATGTCTTAAAATGGCCTAAAACCCCTTTTTTAGTACTTTTTAAGAGTGGAAGTTTGGTGGAAGATTTTCAATGCAAATTACATTACAAATCTTCCACTCAACTTTCAATTTTAAAAAGCCAAAAGGCAAGCTTACCGGCACAAAGTACAGATTTGGATTAGCCGAAATCTTTTGTAGCGCTTCATTAACATCATTTTCCTTTGCTTTTTTGCCTCCATTTTGACCGTCTCTGACTGGAACTGCACACACTTTCAGCTTCATTGCCACTTTTTGATAGACTGTGCCGCTGAAAACTCACTAATTTTGTTTATAATTTAAAAAAGAGCAATAAGTGTCTTTATAAATTAAAGCAGAATCATATTTTTGTGGCTCTAGTTCAAAAGTTTCAAATTTAAAAAGTGGAAACTGAGTGGAAGATTTCTAATGTAATTTGCACTGAAAAAAATTCCACCAAAATTCCACTTTTAAAAAGTGTTAAAAATGTGTTTTTAGGCCATTTTAACACTTTTTAAAAGTGATAGTTTAGCGGACGATTTTCAGTGCAAAATACATTGAAAATCTTCCACTGAACTTCAGCTTTCTTAAATCTTTCGAAATCCCAATTCCAACTCAACAATACTTTAAATCAGTCATAAAAACCAATAAAATCACATACTGATCGTCGTGCAGCTCAAAAATCAAATCAAACAGCTTCTTCGAACTCTTGAAGCAACTATTGTTACAGCTGAAAGTGACATCAAAGTGAGGTTCTTCCGATGCCAACGGGTATAGAATGTCCAGTACGACCTTTTTCCCTCTTTCTAGTACTCGTCCATGTGTTGAGAATGCATATTCTTGACAAACTTTATGCTCTTTGCATGGGTATCCATCAAAGGTTTCCAGGTCCGAAGGCAGGACTGTCATCCTGATTTTGTGTGACAAGAAGTCAGGGATGTATGTGCCAACTTGGAATTTAACTTTGACCAACTTCCTTGTGTAGAGGGTGTTGTTCTCGTGATCGTACTGAAAATAAATCGCATTTTAACACACGTTTTACTAAAAAATCTGCAAAACAGTTCAAAATTCGGCGAAAATTCTTAAAAAAATTAAACGCTACAACTTTGTAAACAAAGTTTTTGCAAAATCTTACAAATGTATTTAACTAATATGGTATTGGCTACGTTTTCACAATATTTCAAATTAATAGATAAAATTTTGTCAAAGTTATAATCATTTATATTCATCAAGATAGCAAATTTTCTCCCAAAAATTCAAAACAATTTGTACTTTTTTAATCGCTAAAGCCCTGTAAAGAAAGTTTTAACAAAATCTCAAACAAATATCTAATTACTATTGTCCTGACTATATTTTCACAAAATTTTAAGTCGATACGTCAAGATTTGCCTTGGTTATAATCAATTATATTCACCTGACCCCCAAATTTTTTCCAAAAAAACCAAACTTTTATTAGCTAAAACAACTTTTCTAACCAAAAAAACTTACATATATGTCATTGTTAGGCCTTTCTGGATCATTAAGAACATAGACATCAAACTTCTCCGCCTTTTTGTAGTTCTCATCAGTCTTTAGCTTCTGGCTAGCCAATTCTTGCGCCTTTCCTTGAGATTTCTGTGAGCTCCAACGAAGAAATTCGTTCATGTCAAAGGAAGAAGGACCAAACTGTTTCTGATTTTGATTAGATTCCAGTAGGTAATCAGCAAACAAATCTGGATTACATCCGGGCTCGTTCGCGTACTCTGCTGCATATTGTTGTAGGTTATCTGAAAATTGATTTTAAGTAATAAAACAGTCCAAACACTATCAAATCTTATACGCATATCATAGAAAACATTCTGACTTTACTACTTTTAAACTTAAAAGAAGAAAAATTGAGGTTGAACTATGAAAACGACAAATTTCGATATTACACTAGATACCTATAACTGAATACCTCATAATTTCAACAATACCATTAGCCAAATCACAATATTACATTATAGCAACAAGAAAACTATATATTTAATATCCTCAAAGTTTCATTACATAAAATTAAGCGTTTCATACTAAACGAACTTGGCAGATATTACACTAGATACGCACACTAATTCTCACAGAACTTTGCTTAAAATACTTAAAACTAAAAACTCTATTACAATATCACGGTCAATACTCTAGTAATACTTGCCTTAAAATTTCATAGCATAAAAATAAGTTTTACCTCACAAAATCAACCATGTCCGATATTACACTGCACGCATTTTAAAAAATTTTTAAACTCACGTCCATTTGGCTGCCAAGCAACTTGTGATTCCTCATAATTAACTGCTACAGGTTGAAGTTCAGCATAGCTTATGTTATTGTTGTCCAAGCCATTCAGTTCTCTGGCCATGTCGTCTTGATCTCGTGATCTACGCCTTGGTGGTTCTTGTGAAGAAGGTCCCTCAAAGCGTAACGGACGTTTTTCGACTTTAGAACCCAACGATGGATCTAGTGAAGAGTTCATTCTTTAAATTAAAGTTTAAAAGTTATTTCGAAGTTTAAAATTCAAAAAATAAAAAAGCTGGAGGAAAAAAGTAGAGTTGACTCAAAGTTCTGAATTTGAGCCAACTTTGGCATTAAAATTCGTTGTTTTTGGCGGCAAACCCTTGTTTGAATCGAGATTTTGGGCCGAAAAATAAAAATCGCAAAGATCGTTATCTTTCTTCTAAAATCTTGCAGTGTTTTGTCTGTCAGTTCACTTTGAAAAGGGTGGATAATATAAAGAAACTTACAAATAATAGTTTGGAAACACGTTTTGATCCATTTTTCGCAAAATATGGAGGAAAACCGACCGGTTGTTGGGTGAAATTTACAAAATTTTATAGTTTTTGGCTAAACAAGTGTTATTTTTGATCAAACGTCCTTTTTACAAGCGTAGAAAACAAGTTTAAACCTTTGAAAATTTTGTTTAAAGTTTTCATAAATTTAAAAATTTGGATTGAGATCAAGTAGAATAACTTGTAAATGATAACTTTTGTCAAAAAATTACATTTCTTAAGTCAGATTTGACTGATATTGTTGTCTTCTTTGTGTTCTTTTCATTTTTGTTTTGCTTTTCTGGATTTTTTAGGTATAAAATAAGGCAACATTACCTAAAACAACATGAAAAAGTCTTGGTAAGTTTAAAAAATTGTTTATATTGGTTTTAAATGGTTTTAAGGTTTTTTAGGCTTAAAATCAAAAGGGATTCATCTAAAACAACATGACGAAGGTTTGGTAAGTTAAAATTGTTTTTGGTGTTGCGAGTTGTTCAGGCTGTTTTAGGTATAGAATGGGCAAAAACGACCTAAAACAACATGAAGAAGCCTTGGTAAGCATGACAACTGATTATGTTTATTAAACGTATGTTTAAACTGTTTTAGAACAATAAGCTGGCTATAATATTAAAGAACTTACAACCTGGAGCTAGAATACATATATACATCTGAAGGTTATTGAAGATTTTGGAGAGCCGATAAAGTAAAACATGTTATCATAGACGTTTAGGAGCTACCAAGAGACGTTATAGCTGGACATAATGAAGAATGCAGTGCAGTACTTTAAGATAGCTGTTTATGGCAGGTTTTTATACGATATTGAAGGATATGAATATAGACTATACTATAGTATACTATGGGATGTTTTTCAAGCTTTCATCTTAAAATGGAGGTAGGTTATAGAAGACTTTTAGCATGCTTTTATTGATGGTATAAAAATTATTTAAGGATATTAATAACGTCTATACTTTTGTTGTTATTCAAGATTTCACGGAAAATGAACATAGGTTATGAGACACTTTTAGCATGTTTAAAGGGACGGTATCAAGAACGACACATTTTCAACAGATCCACGATACACACGGTTGACAACCATCCCAGGACGTTGGTTTTCCAATAGGGATTTGGTTATGTCGAAAGAATGCGTGTCGTTTGTATAGTACGTGCATATGTCCAACACCATAACTGATTCTAAACGCACGGTAAGAATGTAGGCCATATTGTAGTCCATATCGGTTTCCACGTCCACGGATAGATGTCTCACGTTAGGTTTGTTATTACTGTTATAGATGAAGGGTACGCTTGCTTGTATGAGTTTACAGATAGCATGGCCCTTGTACGATATCTTCTTGGATTTGATGAAAAGGTAGTCAATGTTGAAGCGTTCGTCGAACAAGGCCTCCATTTCTTCGTCGACTTCGAGAACTCCGTCGACTAGACTGAGGTCGGCTGAAATTTGATTATTAAGCTTTTTAAAATCGTTGAAATTAAAGTCATTGTGGGCTTGTTAATTTACTGTTAGTCTTTTTATAGGTTCTCTATGTTATCATGCTTTACAAAAAGTATTATCAAGTAAGATTAAATCGGGTTGCCAGTAAAACTTACGTGGTTTAGTAACAACTAACTCGTCCAAGTCTAGGTCAATATCTTTGATGAAACTTCCGATTGTAAAGGGCGCTTCTATTCTTTTCATAGTTTTAATGTTATCTTTTATCAAAGGGACAACCGTTATATTTACATCTTGAGGTTTTACAGCTATAGTTAAGTCACGTATTTCTTTAGTAATTTCTCTTAAACTTCGCACAATATCTGAGTTGAGGTCTAGCATTTTAACTGCGCTCCAGGTTAGCAAATGCGAGTAGGCTTGTTGGACAAATCTTGGTACGTTCCAGCGGGTCAAGTTTGGAAAGTCTATTGCGATCTTTGTATTTGACACTGTTGTGGTTGCGTTTCTAACTTTTTCAATGTTTTTTATTGTTTTGACGATAAGTTTGCGGCTTACAATCTAAAAATTGAAGGTTTGATAATGAGAGGTTTTCCTTACCAATAACTTGCTTAATGAGTCGTTGATGTTTTCACTGTCTTCTACAGCGTGGTCTATGTAGTGGGTAACTGAAATGGATAATTATGGGTTTATAAGGTTGGATATGGATTTAAAAGTTGTTCGTTATACAGAAATTTTGTTATAAAAAAGTTTATTATGCAGGAGTTCTAAGTTCTAATGTATTTGAAAGTAGAACTCTTGTATAAAAGACCTAAAGTCTTACCGAATTGGTCTAAAGCATCTCCATAAAGTTTAGGCCCCATTGTTACATGAGCACGACTGTTTAACTATGTAAAAATTGATACATCTGATCTTTAGCGCTTCATAGACAACAAAACACGCTTTCTTTTCTACGAAAAGATTTTTTGAAAAATAAAAAATAATACGAAACGCCACACACTTTTTAGCGCAAATTGTTCTCGCTTTGAGAGAGGGAAGAGGGCTGCTTGTGGAGAGGGGGGGGGAGGCGTTTGATACTTGAAATTTTATTTTTTAATTTATTTTGAACCGGTGGGTGTATTGCCAGACGGTTTTTTTAGGTCTGGTCCGGCTATTTTGAGGTTTGGTCCAGACATTTATTGTTGGACCGGTACGGCAGGGGAAGTAGTACACTTTTTCTACCCTAGTTTGGCCAAACATATTCACATTTCATAAAAACAAGCAAAGAACCCTTTATTACAAACTTTGTACACAATATGATAACAATTAAAACAATTGGCGGTAATGGCAATAAGTTAATGCTTTTGAATGGTTGATGTGTCGAAAGAGACCACACATTTTCGTGTGCTCGAGCCTGCATTGCTGGTTTTTGATATTTTGTCGGAGCCGGTGCGCCCGGTAGATATTGGTTTGGTGGACTTGTCGTAGATGAATAGGGCCAGGTAGACTCCGTTGAAGCCGAATTGGAAGTAGTAGAGGACCTAAAATTTTGATGAATCTGGATTTTTTTTTAGGGGTGGAGCGGTAGGTCTGCATAAAAAGTAGAGCTTTTTACATATAAAAGCCTTACCTGCGCAAAAGTCCGACCCAACATGTACATCTCCCCCATTACGGTCTGGTCTACCAGGCCTAGTATGACTGATAATCGAAATATGTTCTCTGGCGTGTTTAATACAACATCGATCAAAGCGATGATCAGCCAACGCCACATTGAACTTTTTGGCTGAAATTTTCATTTTTTAAATTTAAACTAGGCAGTAATGTTACAGTAAAATTTTTTGGTCAAAAATGGTATTTTTGGCTTTCAGAAGTAGATGTATTCAATGTTACAGTAATTTTATGGTTTTTTGTTCAAAAGCTACGATAGCTTAACGAATTTTAAAAAACGTCTGGTACAGTTAGTACCATTTTAATTTTTTTGTGTTTTTACCTTTTTTGGGCCATTTGAATTCCGTTGCGCGTACTGTGATAAAGCCGCGTATCTACGTCTACACATATATACAGATGAGTCCACGAACAATATTATTGCCGTTGGAATACAAAAAGACCATATGATTTCCAGGCACAGAAAGATACGATTCAAATTTGGCATTGCTGGCACTAGGGCTGATAATGTGCATCCTTCCTGAACGTTTTGAGTATTAATACTGCACGAAATGTCAAAAATTTCCAATATTGGACGAAATGTCACAAAATTTATTGAAAAATCAAAATTTGAAACGAAATGTCAACAAATTCATTGAAAAATGAAATTTTCTAAAATCAGACGAAACTCCACAAAAAAGTTTAAAAAAATCTAAAGACATCGATCACAACCTACCTCTTGTTTATAAACCACCATGAACAATAAGGCAAAGTTGGTCAAACTGGCACCACTCACAATAACCAACAGCACCCTGCCCGGCAATCGCCATAGTCGAAAATGAAATAACGGATGATATACTGACAAGTACCGTAGTGTTGACATCAATAACCAGCTCCATATACTGACTGATGTGCTCACATGCGTACTGAATATGGCCAATTTGCATACAACAGTACGCGAAAATGGCCCTGTGTTCACGTCGAAACTGAGTACGTAATGCACACATATTGAACAGAGAGATACTAGATCAGCTATTGACATGGCAAGAAGACAAATACCCGTTCCATTTCTGAAATTATTAAGATTTTAGGTATAATGTGAAAATATTTATTTTAAAAGAGAGTCATGGTTATGGGACGATATGTCAAGAAATGAATTGGAAAATTTGGCTTTGGACGAAATATCACAAGATTTATTGGAAATTGAAATGTAGACGGGAGTGTCAAACAAATTATCGGATAGCGAAAAAATGACAAGAACTTTCTTTACAAAACAATAAATGACAAAAACTTTCTTTACAAGAATAAAAATGGCAAGAACTTTCTTTAAAAATCAAAAAAAAAAACGCCAAGAACTTCCTTTAGAAAACAAAAAATGCCAAGAACTTTCCAAAACCAAAACCTACGTATACACTTCCTTGGACTTCATGGCCAACTTGACCATTCGATACAGTACGAAAACATTGCACGGAATCCCGAAAAATATCGCTACCGCATACAGTATATACCCGAAAGCCATGCCGAACACCAGCACACTACTGTACGGCGGCTCGTCATCGCCGTAGTCCGCCGCGTAGTCATCGTTGACGGTGGAGTTGAAGTAGAACCGGCTCATCTTAACGCCGCCGCACCATGTGAAGTCATAGTCAGTAAACAAGCTAATATTAGAATATTCTCTCAGCTAATTGCTTCAACAAAATATAGAAAGTGCACTGAAAAGTGGAATTTTTCAAAAACCCCAAAAACACGTTTAAAAATTCGAAAAATAGTGCGCGGACGATGGGTTTTTTGTAGCGTGCTGCTACAAGTTTAATTGGACATAATTTTTTTAATTTAAGATGATAATTGGTAGTATATGTAGTAAATATAGAGGTAGTAAAAGTTTGTAGAAACTTTCTTTACAAAACAAAAAATGGCAAGAACATTCTTTACAAAACAAAAAATGGCAAGCACTTTCTTTACAGAACAAAAAATGGCAAGAACTTTCTTTACAGAACACTAAACGGCAAGAACTTTCTTTACAAAACGTAAACTGGCAAAATCTTTCTGTAAAAACCTCAAATTGAATAAACAATGACCCGCAGCCTGCAAAACACCTGTTATGCGATGAAAAGAAAAAAGCTTAAAAATTTGTTTTAAAAACATAAAATGGCAAGAACTTTCTTTACAAAACAAAAAATGGCAAGAACTTTCTTTACAAATCGCGAAATGGCATGAACTTTCTTTACAAAGCAAAAAGTCTCAAAAAGTCAAAATAGAGTTTTTATTTTTGGCACGTACAACATTGTATGAAGTATAAAACCATGTAAGTCACCAGAAGATCATATTATATATATACATCCTCATTGTTAGTGACCTCACGCTTAATACAATGTAACAATATTTAAAAAATTTAAAAGGTCCGTATAACTGTTGTCCATAACAGTGTAAACCTCAAGCTTACAAACCGAAATGGCAGTATTCATTGCTACTTGCAGACATACAATAAGGTAGTAGTTACCTTACAATTAACAATAATTTTACTGGACAATCATTACTGCCAATAAAATTATTATATGGCTGTAATAACTACTGTAGTAATAATATTTACCCCTACTAACTTTACTTTACGGTTACAAAAAGTTCAAAATATTAGCTAATTAAAAATTTACCGTTACTACGGCCATGTAAACAAAAATCACATCATGGGACCTAATGTGCTACAATTAGAAGGGAAAAATAATGGGCTAGCCAAAAAACAATGGCTCGTCTATGGCCATGTACTTTAAGCATGATGTTGAGGGTAATTTTGAAGTCGCCAACATGTGTTTTTTACATAGTAAATGCGATAACAAGGCAGCTTTAGGTGTTCGAAAACCTATTTGGATACAAACACTGTGGTTATGGTACGTTATGTATAGTATAGTACTTTTTGTACTATTGAACATAAGCATTTTTGTTCTGCCAATCCTGCCCCTACCCTATTCTATCTTACCCTACCCTACCCTACTTTACCCGACCCTACCCTACTCTACCCCTATCCTCATAGGTCCTGCCACGCTAACCCACCTACCCTCCTTTTCCCCTTGCTTTACGCTACCTTGGTGAAAATTAAATAAAACAACCATTAAAGCCTTTTGTCAACAACAAAGCATTACCTCAACATTAGGTAGTGAGCAAGAAAAATATTATAAAAGTGCACTTTAACTAATCAAAAAACACATTTTTTGTGTTGTAAAGAAAGTTTTTGCGATCTTTTGTTCTGTAAAGAAAGTTATTGCCATTTTTTGTTTTGTAAAGAAGGTTCTTGCCATTTTTTGTTTTGTAAAGAAAGTTCTTGCCATTTTTTGTTTTGTAAAGAAAGTTCTTGCCATTTTTTGTTTTGTAAAGAAAGTTCTTGCCATTTTTTATTTTGTAAAGAAAGTTTTTTCAAATTTTTCCTTAAATTACAACTATTAGTTTGTTCAAATAATTCTGTGCTCCTTAATTTCAAAAAGTTGTTTTAAAAGGGGGCACATAATTATTTGAACAACCTAATAAAAATAAAAACATATTTTGAAGAAAATAAGGAAAAAAACTGTTTTTACTCTTCAAACAATCAAAAATAGGAATTGTCTAGTAAATCCAATTAAAAGTGGCAAAGTAGCTCAAGGTTTTAACTTTAGCCACTTTCTGTCATTCTTTTTAGGAACCACTTATTATAAATGATTGATAAAATATAAGAAAAGGGTTGGTAAAATATAAAAATGGGTAAATTACCTACTTTATATAGACATGAGCAACGGGCCGGGCCCAATTTCCAAGCCCGGCCCGAGGGCCGGGCCTAGATTTTAGGCTCGGCCCGTTTTTGATTTTGGTCAGGCCCGGCCCGATCAGAAAATTTCTAGGCCCGGCCTGGCCCGTTTTAAAAAATTTTAAAAATTTTAAAACTTAAAAACTAAACGGAAATTTGGCTTTAAATTGTTTTTTTAGGTTATTTATGGATCATAGAATCCAATAAAATCGAAAAACATAAACGGGAATTAAAATTAAAAATTTTAAAAATTAAAAAAATTTTTTTTTTAGGCCCGGGCCCAATTTTTAAGCCCGGCCCGTTTTCGATTTTGCTCAGGCCCGGCCCGGCCCGTTGCTCATGTCTAACTTTATATAAGGCCTTTTCAGGTATAGAAAGCCGTTTTTTTAAATTTGAAAAACGTTTTTGAAATAAAAAAACAGTTATGTGTATGAACTCATTAGAAGAATTAAAAGTCCAAAGGCATTTGCATTTTTTAAACTTTGGACTTTCGTCTGAACAAAATGCACAACAAATGGCAAGAACTTTCTTTACAAGACAAAAATGGCAAGAACTTTTTTTACAACCGCTAAAAGAAAGACTTTTTAAAAATGGAATTTCCGTGGAAGATTTGTAATGTATTTCGCACTAAAAATCTTCCACTGAACTTCCATTTTTAAAATGTCTTAATATAGCCTAAAAACACATTTTCAACCCTTTTTATGAGTGAAAATTTTGTGGAAGATTTTTATTGCAAAATACATTACAAATCTTCCACTTAGCTTCCACAGTTAAAAAGTGTAAAAAACGTGTTTTTAGGTGATTTTAAGATATTTTAAAAATGAATGTTGAGTGGAAGATTTTCAGTGCAAAATACATTACAAATCTTCCACTCAACTTTCATTTTTTTAAATTTACAAAAACCAGTAAAAACCCAATTAAACAATATTAAAGTCATAAAAACCACCCCCTGTCTGAAAAAAAACATTTTTTGACTATGTGAAACTTCCGAGTATTCGTTCAATTACGTCAAAAACACCCCTTCCCTTTTCCCCTCTCCCCTTCTATTTTTCCATCCCCCTATTCCCCCTCCCCCGAAAGGCAGTGGGAATTTGCAAGAATATGCAACATTCGGGATAAACCCCATAGTGGGGCTAATTCTTGGCCCGAAGCTTTGTGTTTGGGTTCCGAGTATTTTTAAAGGGTTATTCATTCATTATAAAGGATAATTTAAACTCGATATCGTTTTATTGAAAACATAGTTTATTTGGCAGAAACTATGAATATATAATGTCATTTTTGGAAATTTTAAAGTAGGTGTGAATAAATAATGATATTTTTTTTAAAAAAGATACTGTAAGATAAAAAAAATTACGGTACATAAACGAAAAGACAGTGCTAGAGTAACCTAGGGTCAAAGGCCAGGTTGGGATGAAGTAAGACATAATAGGGCAAAAAGCGTTTGGTATAATACTTTAAGTGGGAGTAATGTGACAGATCATGGGCAGTACAAGGCCGGTCAAAACATGGGTAGGGAAGAGTATATAGAGTGAAGTATGGTAGAATAGAGTCGGGTTGGGCAGATAGAGTATGCTAGGGTACAGAATACGGTTGGAATGGGACCGAACAAGCTAGGACCGGGTAAGACAACTTAGTCTATAGTACTTTAAGTGGTAGTAAATATGGGATAGGATATACTAATTGTCTGGCTGGTTAGGGGTAGGGCATAACAAAGGACGGGTAGGGCAGGGTAGGGTAGGGTAGGGTAGGGTTGGGTTGGGTAGGGTAAGGTAGGGTAGGGTAGGGTAGGGTAGGGTAGGGTAGGGTAGGGTAGGGTAGGGTAGGGTAGGGTAGGGTAGGGTAGGGTAGGGTAGGGTAGGGTAGGGTAGGGTAGGGTAGGGTAGGGTAGGGTAGGACTGATATTACTGTGGCATGATTACTTAAAGGGCAAAATCTTTCTTATTAACATATAAATGACTTTAAATTTAAAAAATATTTGTCGCAGACTTAAAAACAACATTCTAACAAAATAATTATCTACTGCTGTTTGAACTTGCGACGCAGTAGACTTTGATTTAACGGCTTTTATAATTTACTGCATAATAAGTCATTACTGAATAGTAAAAGGAATGAATATGTAATGTGTTTTTTAACTGCCAAACTCTTACTTAGTGGTTGGTGAAGGGGAGGGAAGGAGCGGAATTCAATGGAGTAATGCTAAATCATTAGGTAACAACTTTGTCTAAAGTATAAAAAGCTTGAAGCTCCTAAGCCTAAAATTTAGTTTAAGTCTAATAAGCCTCATACTAAGGCTACTAAAACTAAGCCTACTAAGCCTAAGCCTACTAAGCCTAAGCCTAAGCCTAAGCCTAAGCCTAAGCCTAAGCCTACTAAGCCTAAGCCTACTAAGCCTAAGCCTACTAAGCCTAAGCCTACTAAGCCTAAGCCTACTAAGCCTAAGCCTACTAAGCCTAAGCCTACTAAGCCTAAGCCTACTAAGCCTAAGCCTACTAAGCCTAAGCCTACTAAGCCTAAGCCTACTAATAAGCCTAAGCCTGCTAAACCTAAGCCTACTAAGCCTAAGCCTACTAAGCCTAAGCCTACTAAGCTTAAGCCTACTAAGCCCAAGCCTATTATGTTTCACGATCAACTTACGAAGCCAAATCCTAATAAGCGTAATCCTTCTGAGGATACGCTTCGTATGGCTAAGCGTACTACGCCTAATGTGTCTAAGCCTATATTTATTAGGTTTAAAGTCCTTAAGTCAAGTTTTCAATAACAAAAAAAATTTAAGCCGGCACTCGTTAAGCCTAAATAGCTTCAAAAGTGACATAAATATCATGTAAAGATAAAAAAAAACTCGGTGGTATTTAGTACTGTCTACGTACTAAAGAACAAAACACTAAACACACTTTCGAAACCATACATTTTAAAGTGCTGAATTCAAATTCAGCACATTGCAGTGCACTGTCCATATACGAAACCCCTGAGGAAAAACGTAAAATGAAACTATTACACACGGTTTTAGAGGCTACGTTCTGTTGGTAATATTAACAAAAATGCAATTTTGGTTTATAGCGCAATTAAAAATTGAACAAAGACGACTATAACTTCTGTCCTGATGTATACTCAGAACCGGGTTGGGACTTTTGGTTTAGGTGTAGGGGTCGAAAAAATCCACAGGAGGGACCACGTTTAACTTTTATCATATTTTTTTGGACAGAGGTGGTTTACCCTAACCCCTGCCTGTCTCCCTCCTCTCGCGACCGGCTCTGCTTATACTCATAGGTTTAAAATATAAATAAATACAATTTTTAAAAAACCTGTTTTTGCAAATGTCACGAGTCCTCTTCGAAAGCGTAGGGACAGTACAAGAAGGTACAAAAAAAATGCAAAATGGTAAATAAGCAAAACAATACAAATAGGACTTAGACTTAGTTTTGGCTTTAGGCTAAGGGTTAAAAGTTAAGACAAGGTTCAATTTAAGGCTTGTATTGCAAAGGTGTCGGCTTAGATTAAACTTAGGCTTAGGCTTAAAGTTATGATTAGGCTTAGGCTTATTAGGCTTAAATTGAAAATTAGGCTTAGGTTTAGGCTTAAGCTTAGGCGTTGGCTTAGGCTTAAGCTTAGGCTTAGGCTTGAGCTTAGGCTTAGGCTTAGGCTTAGGCTTAGGCTTAGGCTTAGGCTTAGGCTTTGGCTTAGGCTTATGCTTTGACTACGGCTTAATCTTAGGCTTAGGCTTAAGCTCAAACCAAGGCTTAAACGTACTATTAAGCTTAATCTTTAACTTAAGCTGAAGCTTAAAATTAAGCTCAGGCTTAATCACAAGTTTAGGTTTGTTTTTAGGCTTGAGCTGAGAATGTTAAATTAAAAACGAAAAATACATTAACATAAAACTGATCTAAAAACTCCAGCACGTTGCACTCAAAAAACGATTGGCAACCACCGAGTTTGTTCTGACACTAATTGAGTTGATGTCTTGGAGATGGTTTCAATTTTAATCAACTCTAACCCGTTTTCCTCTCTCCGCCTCATTTGAAACATTTCCAAAAGCAATTAAAATTTATGGCCACTTGGATCAGAAAAAGTACAAAACACTAGCCGTACGGTAAGTGTTTTTTAGCTTGAGACAAAAGACTACATCTTGCATGGACTAGAATATCCAGAGTCTTAGCCCAGAGCACTAGCCCAAAACCCTAGCTTATAATTCTAGCCTAAACCCTGGCTCAGAGCCCTAGTTCAGAGCCCTAGTTCAAAACCTTTGCCTTAGCCCAGTTCCAATTTTGACCCAGCTACACCTCTGCTCTAGTTCTAACTCTAGACCTAGTCTTGACTGTTCCGCAGCCTCAGCCTCAGCTTCAGCTCCAGATCTTAGCCTTGGCTCAAAGCTCTAGTCCAGAGGCCTTGAAAATAGAAATATAGGAAAAGCTCAGACGACTCTAAATGACTAGAATAATAAACACATCAGCTTAAACTGCCACATGTTTTGATACTGTCATAGACAGGAAACGGAAGTATTACAAGTTTTGAACATTCAAATGTAGCCAAAATAATTATTTTTGTGCCAGAGATGATTTTAAAGGACATTATGGTATTTTATATAGTTGAGTAGGCTTATGGTAAGGCTTAGGTTTAGGTGAAAATATGTATAGGTATAGGTTTAAGATTAGGTATAACTTGATGTTTAGGTATAGGTATAAGCACAAGCAAAATGTGTAGGCATAAATGAGTGTATAGATATATTACTGGTAGATAGGTCTAGGTCTAGGTCTAGGTCTAGGTCTAGGTCTAGGTCTAGGTCTAGGTCTAGGTCTAGGTCTAGGTCTAGGTCTAGGTCTAGGTCTAGGTCTAGGTCTAGGTCTAGGTCTAGGTCTAGGTCTATGTATAACTATAGGCTTTGCTTCAGGCTTTTCTCTAGGCTTAAAATTAAGCTTAACGTTTGGTCTACTTTTAAAAGCTTTAGGCTTAGAAAGTTTTATGCTACGAAGCTTTAGGCTTAAAGACAGGTTAATAAACAAAAATTAAAAAAAATAGAAAATGACATAAAGTTAGACCTGTAATGGGACCGAGACGGCATGTATCGGTCTGACTCAAGTTCTGCTAAATTTATCTTAGTCCGGCTTAGCCTAACGGGCCCACTTCAAGTCCATATATCTTCAAGTCGACAACAAAAAATAAGATAACTTTAGGTTGAAAGTAAATAAACAGAAAACCTCCTTGTTCAGTTGAATATGCCACAGTTCATGTTCCAACATTTCTGGAACGACTATTATTTTAGATTACGTTTCCAAGTAAAATACGAAAGCTTATCTTATAAATCCAGGAAGACCAACTTTGTAAATACTCTTATATCTTATGCGGTGAAACCTTTTGTTAAAAGGTTTTGTTGAAAGGTTTCATCGTTGTACCGAGTTGTACGCAAACATACGATTACTACATTTTACAAATACTGTGACATATAAATTGTTATATGTGGCATTAAAAAAGATTACGGTAGGTTTAAAATCTTTGTTATTTTTGACATTTTTCCAAATTTACGTTTGTTTAATATTTTTAAGATTGAAAAAAGGGCAGTCAAAAAAAAAATTTTTTTTAATGTACTTGCAAGGTGTGGCAAAGAAAGAAGATTTTTATTGAGTTGGCTTTGGTGTTTGGATCTACCTTATCTTCTCTTCCTCTTCTTAGCTACGTTCCCGTTTATATCCTTTCATTGACGACGTTTGGTTGAAGAAATAGAAATGTTTATTGTTACACATACATAAAAACAACAAAGTAATAAAAATGTTAATTACTTTCATGTTAAGTGTGATACAACTACAAAATATTTTTTGACTTTGTAAAGTTGACTTGTTCTAGTCTTGTCAAGTGTTGTTTTAATGTTGCTGTAGCTTTGAGCTTGTCTTAGCCTTAGTCTTAGCCTTAGCCTTAGTTTTAGCCTTAGCCATAGCCTTAGCTTTAGCTTTAGCTTTAGCTTTAGCCTTAGCCTTAGCCTTAGCTTTAGTCTTAGCCTTAGCCTTAGCTTTAGCCTTAGCCTTAGCCTTAGTTTTAGCCTTAGCCTTAGCCTTAGCCTTATAGTTTTCTCAAGCCTTTCCCTAACTTCGGCCTAGCTATCTTAGCTTTTGCTTTACTAGTTAGGCTTGGCTTTAGCTTTGGTTTAGGTAGATCTCACATGAACTCTTTTACTAATAAATAGAAAGAAGCATTTAGTTTTACATATTCAAATGGATAAGGTTTTGGCGCGCTTTCAGCGCCGTAAAAGAGCAATATATTATAATATATACCTTGCATTGGCTGTGGTTACACACAGCCTCATATCTCTTTATTTTCCTTTACACAGAGCTTTCCTTCATTATGTAATTTGTATAAAATTGTTTTTACATTAACATTGTGGCTTAAGATTTAGTTTAAGTGGTTTAAAGTAGGTTTTGTAAGGCACGCTTAAATCTTTTAGGTATTATGGCCTTTAAGCTTAGGCTTATCTTAATTTTTTATTTTTTACTTTTTATTTTTTGAATTTAAAAAAAATTTATCACTGATTAGCGCTGCAAATCGGATTTGAATTAGGCGATTTGCTTCAGTGATATTCCTCGAGTCAATCGTTTTTGGATGACTAAATTAAGGAATTTGATTTTTCTGACTAGGAATTCTTGATTGAAGATTTCTTTCTTATCTTTGAGTTTTTTTTAAACCTTAGGCTTAAAGCGTGTATGTATAAGAAACTTTTGGTTAGGTCATATGGTAATAGGAGTCTAAGGCTTATAATTTTTAAGCTTAGAAGCTTAGAGCTAAAAGTCTTTAAACTTAGAACCGGCAGGCTTAAAAACTTTAGGCTTAGAAGCTTCAGGCTTAGAGGCTTTAGGCTTAGAGGCTTTAGGCTTAGAGGCTTTAGGCTTAGAGGCTTTAGGCTTAGAGGCTTAGAGGCTTTAGGCTTAGAGGCTTAGGCATAGCTGCTTATAGACCATAGTCTTAAAAGCCAAAAGGTTGATAAACTTTAGTCGTAGAGGTTTTAGGTCTATAAGTATTAGACTTAAATGCTTTAGGCTTAAAGGCTTTACTTTTAGAGTTTTCACGCGTTTTATATTTTTAACTTTTTAAAAATTTTATTTTTAGCAATGTCAACCATTACCTCCACAATCACCTTATCTAAACCTATCAACGAAAAGCCTATGCACCTAGAATGCCATGACTACATTCCATCGTATCTTACTGACATACGACGTGTTCAACTAACTCTACAAGACTACCTTTACTTTTTGAAAATTTTTCAGAATGTAGTATCTACCAGCCGGCTGGCAGACAAACTCGAAGTTGATTTTTACATTGAAAGCATAGAGAAGATGTTGGTATCGATCAAAGGCTTCATCGTAACTTACACTGATGTGTTCACTATGAACGCTACAGTAAAAACAAAAGTTCATTTTGATAATGTTCTGGACAAATATAAACAGATGATATGTTGCAAGGCCAAAATGTTTTGTCATGCTTACGAAGAGATTCATGGTTGGATCAAGGTGTCGTTGAATGATTATGTACACTTGGCCAAAAAAGCAGTACAAAGGAAGTTTGATAAGAGGAGCATAGCATTGGAGGATCGAGTTGAAAGTTTAAAGGTAAAGTTATTTATAAAACTAAAAAACATTTTTTGGCTGGACTTAAACAGACTAGGTGGAGCAATGTGAATTAAGTTTGCAAAAAGAGCATTTTGTTCAGACATCAAATTTTCTCCGCCTTTTCAAAGAAAGCAGGGTAGGTAACATCGATTAACAGGGAAAGTATCTTACCTGCCTCGCTCAGAATTAGCTCAAAATTTTTATATGAATTCTTTGTGCCACCAATAGTACCCATAAAAAAAATTTAGCTCGTGTTCTTTAGTTTTAATTTTAAATTATTTGGGTTTCCCGCCAATTTGGCAAATTTGGCATTGTGTTTCAAGCGCTTTTTCGGCTTTCCAGACAAGATACGCTTCCAAATTCAAAAATGTAGGTTCATTTAAAGGTTTTCTACTAGTATATCAAAGAAAAATTATTAAAGGTCAAAAAATGACAAAGTCACAAGCTTGAAACACAATGCCAACTCGGCGGGAAATTCAAAACGTAATTTTTTAATATTAATTTTCTCGAGATTCCAATGAAAGCGCGATTTAGTACTTTGCTAAAGATTGTATATTTACATGATCTTTCTTTATAAAAAGTTTGAAGTCAATCAGAACGGGGCACGTCGGGCACTTTCCTTGTAAGCTAAAGCCATTTTTAGAACTCTTTAAAACTGAATGTGAATTAATTTTTAAAATTTCCATTTTAGTATATGGAATCCTGCTGCACTAAAACCCTAAACTTCTGGAGAACTCAACCAAATAGTTTTGTAAAAAAACTGACCACTGAATATTTTGAAGAAGTTTTTCTAGAATCCACGACTATGGTCTCAAATTTGAAAGTCATGATTGAAACTGAAAGAGCTATTGATCAAAAAAAGAAGTGGACTAGTTTGATTGTTGGAGCTTTTTTGGTCGAAGCTGTTTATCTTTGCTGTCAATAAAGTTTCATTACTGACTTTTTTATACCCTACCCTACCCTACCCTACCCTACCCTACCTTACCCTACCCTACTCTACCCTACACTACCTTACCCTACCCTACTGTTCTCTATTTTGCCCTATTCTTCATGGCTGTTTTCTACCCTACCTTACCTTGTGACATTTTTAAATAACATAGTTATTAAAAAACGAAAAACAGACAAAAAATGGTTGTTGTTTCATGACTATGGCTAAAATAAACATTATTTTTAATTTTTTTAAAAAGTTTAAAATTAGTACTAGGGGGCACCCGGATTTGAACCAGGGACCTATCGATCTGCAGTCGATTGCTCTGCCACTGAGCTATACCCCCACGGGTCGGAACGAAGCGGAAAGGAAATGGGAAAGGAGCGAGGAGAACAAATGTGAACAAATACCGTCTTTGTGAGCTGAAAAGTCATTTCAAATGTAAAAATGTTATATTATGTACTGTTTTTTAATCGTATAGGTAAAATACGTATATGGTATGCTATAAATTACAAAAATACTACCTCTCTAAATGAAAACGTAAAAGTACGTCTAAAATTTAAGATTGAGAGTATCTATAGCTTTACAATTAAGCTTAACCTTAGTCCTAAGTTGGTGTTGCATTTAAATTTAGACTTAATTATTTCTTGGGCGTTGGTTTTGTCATAGGCTTCGGCTTAGGATCCGGCTCCCGCTGAGGCTCTAAATCCAATTGGGGTTCGACCATCTCAAACTTGATCTAAAACTCAGACTCCGACTCCACCTTGAACTTTGGCTTAGGTCCAAGCTCAGGCTCGGCTGAAGATTAAGCTTAGGCCCGGACACCCACTTTCAGGCTTAGGCTTAGGCTTAAGTTTTAGTTTGAGGTTTCAGCTTAGACTTAGAATTAAGATTAAGCTTTGCCTTGATTTAACTGTCGGCTTGTTCTCTAAACCAAATTTAAACCCAATTTTAAATTTAGCCTAAAGCTTTGCACTTGGCTTAAGCTTTTGCGTTAGCTTCGGCTTAAGCTTTCCTTCGCATTTAGGCTTAGGATTAAGCTTGATCTCACCAACAGAAGCAAGCCAACGCTTTGTGTTAGGCTTAGCCTTGGCCATGGAGTAAGCCTAAACTTTGGCTTTGTTTGTATTTTATGAATTTCTTGCAGAAATTTGTCTATAGGCGTTGAGACTTAGGCTTGGCTTAGAACAAGCTTTTTCCAAATTTCTTTGTTTAGGCTTTAGTTAGTTTGAACGTTTTAAATTTTTTATACGTTTGGGTAAAGTTTTTGCCTATTTTGAGTTTTTTTTATTTTGATGAGCTATTACTTTTAATTTTTTTACAGTAACTTTTCTACTATAATTTCACCTCGTATTTTATCTAAATTTCAATCCTTATCACTCTTCAATCTATCCAAATCTTTAAAAAACGAAGCAAAAAAGTCTTGAACCTCGAGGCGTTTTTTTCGGCGCGTCTATTCCGACTTTATTTTCGAAGAAGCTGGTGCAAGGGGGGGGAGGTGAAGACGGATCCGGCCTTGACAAAGCGGCCAAGAGGGGGCGCCGGATCTTTTTCGCCCGGCTTTTCCTCTCTCGGGCGTTTTTGGGTTTGCAGAAGAGGTCAAGTTAATTTCATTTACTCGCTGCTTTCACTCCTCTTCGTCTGTCCACTGCCTAATTTGGCACAACAAAACAGACGTGTTGACACAAGGGTGGGAAAAAGTTTGAAAGAGGGTATTTTGTTTACAAATTGGATGAAAACATTACCTTTCCTTTTATTTTGTGTTAGGGTAGGGTAGAAATGCCTTTTTTGAACAATTTTAAGTCGTTTTTAAAGTGGGAGTTGAGTGGAAGATTTGTAATGTATTTTGCACTGAAAATCTTCCACTCAACTTCCACTTCTAAAAAGTGTTAAAAACGTGTTTTTAGGCCATTTTAAGACATTTTATAAATGGAAGTTAAGTGGAAGATTTTTAGTGCAAATTACATTACAAATCTTCCATCAAACTTCCACATTTTTAAAGTTGATTTTATAGTTTTCCTTTGACTTTTTGTAAACAGCACAGAAAGTTTTTGTCATTCTATAAAGATATTTTGATTATTTTATTGAGTTAATGTTGCAAAAACCTCTCATTGTTGCCATAATTTTCCGCGCGAACTGTTTCAAATAGCGTATAATTTGAAACAAGATACGAGCCATGGTAATTAGCATGAAAATAATGGAGTTTTGGCTGCAAAAAACTAAAGCTTTGCCTGAAATAGCAAGAACTTTCTTTACAAACAAAAAATTGCAAGAACTTTCTTTACAAACAAAAAATTGCAAGAACTTTCTTTACAAAACAAAAAAATGGTAAGAACTTTCTTTACAAGCCATAAAATGGCAAGAACTTTCTTTACAAGCCATAAAATGGCAAGAACTTTCCTTACAAAACAAAAAATGGCAAAAACATTGACTTACCACTAACAACCTCAATATCCATAAATTATCTTAATGAGATCGCTAACAAGCCTATATTGACCACTTATCGGCCGAGAAATAAAATTAAATTTATTGAACTTTTAAAACATTTCAAGCCTTATGGTTGATGTTAGTGAACAAAGTAAAGTCTTTAATGTGAGTGCCTTTGGCTATTGTTTTCTTTTTCGAATTACAGTGTTTGACCACTTAACATAAGGCCAAATTAGAGCCTATCGAATGACCATTAGGCGAATAAACAAATCTGTGCGGAGCGAAAGTTTCCCACGTTCAAGTGAGGGCGGAAATGATGACAAAATGCATTTTTTTAAATTCAAAGCATGTTACAATGGATAGGGTAGGGTAAGGTAAGGTAGGGTACAATATTTTAGGGTAGGGTAGAGCAAAATACGGTGAGGTAAGAAAATATTGAGAAAAGGGCAGGGTATGGTAGGGTAGAGTAAGGTAGGGTACAATATTTTAGGGTAGGGTAAAGCAAAATACGGTGGGGTAAGAAAATGTTGAGAAAAGGGCAGGGTAGAGTAGGGCACGGTAGGGTAGGGTAGGGTAGGATATGGTAGGATATGGTAGGATAGGGTAGGGTAGGGTAGGGTAGGGGAGGGTAGAGAAGCGTAGGGTAGGGTAGGGTAAGGTAATATAAAAAACGAAAGAACTTTGTTTCCACAGGTCATATCACGTCATTTCCAAATCACATTTCCTAAAATTAGTCAGCCCTGCACTGACCGGTCAATGCCTCTAATCCAGCTTCGTTTCCCTCCAAGATGGATTGTTGGAATTTGATGAGATAGGAACCGAAAAAAAAACCGACAAAAACTGGTGCGACCTTCAAATTGGGCCGTTCGGGCCGTGTCGCCGCTATCTTTTTCTCCATTCATACTGCCCATCTTTTGAGTAACTCTTGTTCCTCTCTTTTCCCAAAAAATTTTTCCCTCCGAAAATTTTTACAAATTCCGTTTTAATGCTAATTTTATTGTTTTGCGGGCTGAAAATGGACTGATGCTGTGGTGGGGCTAAAAATAAACTAGGGTTTGGAAGGAAGGGGGGGGGGATAGAGCTGAAAATGAATTGGGCATAGGTCGAGGCTGAGGATTAGTTGGGTGAGCAAGATAGGGTTGAAAATAAGCAGAAATTGTATGTAAAAAAAGTTCTTGCCACTTTTTGAATTGTAAAGAAAGTTGTTGCCATTTTTTGTTTCGTAAAGAAAGTTCTTGCCATTTCTTGTGTTGTAAAGAAAGTTATTGCCATTTTTAGGTTTGTAAAGAAAGTTCTTGCCGTTTTTTGCTTTGTAATGAAAGTTCTTGCTGTTTTTCGTAAATTTTTCAAAACGTCGTTTCAACTCTTTTCAGAATTTAGCTGACTTTTCAGTAACCATAGCCTTAGGCATTTTTTGACTTGTAAGTGTAATGTAATCAACTGAGATGTCTTTCTTTTTTATAGTACTCACGTAGGCAGCTCTTATGATCATTTGTATTCACAGTAAAATTCAAAATTTAAATTTTTTAAAATTAAAATCAGTTTTTCACTCAAAAATTTGTTCAAACTTTAAAATCAGCGCGCCATTACAATATTGTCGTCCCCATCCGCTTCCTAATTTATATTCATTTTGGCAGCTTTTTACACTCTCGATGACTCATTTCCGAAAAATTATTTTTGCGCACATTGTTTTGTCCTTTATTCATCTTTTCTTTGTTTTACCCTACCATATCCTACCCTACCCTACCTTACCCTACCCTACCCTACCCTACCCTACCCTACCCTACCCTACCCTACCCTACCCTACCCTACCCTACCCTACCCTACCCTACCCTACCCTACCCTACCCTACCCTACCCTACCCTACCCTACCCTACCCTACCCTACCCTACCCTACCCTACCCTACCCTACCCTACCCTACCCTACCCTACCCTACCCTACCCTACCCTACCCTACCCTACCCTACCCTACCTTACCCTACCCTACCCTACCCTACCCTACCCTACCTTACCCTACCCTACCCTACCCTACCCTACCCTACCCTACCCTACCCTACACTTCCTTTCCTTATCCTACCCTAACCTACACCACTGTATGCTTGTTCTACCTTATCCTAGCCTTACCCTACCTCGCCCTTCTGTGCTTTATCTTATCACACTTCTCCCTTCACTGCCATGCCCTGCAGGCCTTGCCTTAGAGGGTGCCCTACTTGATCCTGACCTACCCTAACCCTAGCACGCCTTACCCTACTCTAAGTTTACCTTTCCCTCCTCTAAATTTACCTTATTCTCCTCTAAGCTTACCACACTCCTGTGCCATGCCCTGCAATGCCTTGCCGTGTTTTGGCCTTCCTTTTGAGTTGCCTTGATCTACCTTATCATAACATACTTTTCAAAAAAAGCTCTGTAGCCTGAAAGATTAGGTTGCCCTAAAAAATTGGGTTTACTTTACCCCACCCTACCATTCCTTATTATTATATATTTTTACTTTTTACCCCTGCCACATTAAAAACTATTACCTCTTTGAAATTGAAGATAAAGAACTCATGCCCTCTTCCTTCCATTAGCCCTTACCTTGTTTATCTGAACCCCTACCGATCTTACCCACCCTTCCCTACGCTTTTCACCCCCTCCCCTATCCCCTTAAGATCTAATTTTCTAGCCAAGTTGTCCATGTTTTCCCTACCCTTGTTTGACCTCCCTTCCCTTCTTTAACCCTTGTCTTCCTTTCTTTTCCAGCTTCTCATTTCCCGACCCCCCCCCCCCTTCTTCGGCTCATTCAGCTGACCGGTCCACAATAAACAGAAGGGCGCTTGTCCTAAAACGGAAATTGCATCGAGATCGGGAGAGGGGAAAGAAGCGAAAAAAGCCAAAAGAAAGGGTCAATCCGATTAATCGTCCTTTATGTCCCCACCCGCGATTTGGCTACGTTTGTCTGTGTGAATATAATATAACACCACCGCCTCGAACCCTACTCCTTCCCTCCCCCTTCACCTCGTGGCTATTGTTTTAAATTTGTATTGTTTTATTACAAAATCTTGTATGGCTAGGGTAATTTGCAAAAAAAAAATTTAGGGTAGGGTAAATTAATGAAAGGTGGGGTAATTTTAGGTGAACCTATAAAGGCTAGGGTAATTTGAAAAAAGAACAAAAAGGCAGAGCAATTTAAAAAATTTTATGGCTAGGGTAACTTTTAATAAAAATTTGTCAGCCTAACAAGTAAGGTAATTTTAAGAAAATTTTTAAGGCTAGGGTAATCTAGGACCTGTTAGGGGGTGTTCTCGCTTCTTCACATTTAAAAGGCCGGGTAAAACTATTTAGTTTGTTAGAAATGGGTGTTTTGTTTTTTTACTAAAAAGGGCGGGGTAAAAATTTGTTTTTTAAAAATATTTGAAAAATTATGGTTTTTTTTGTTTTGTAAAGAAAGTTTTTGCCATTTTTTGTTTCGTAAAGAAAGTTCTTGCCATTTTTTGTTTTGTAAAGTAATTTCTTGCCATTTTTTGTTTTGTAAAGAAAGTTCTTGCCATTTTTCTTTCCGTAAATGTTTTTTTTTCATTTGAAAACTATAATCTTTCCCCAAGGTCAATATAAAGCCTTAAAGCCTCTTAAACATCATTTCCCTCCAAATATCGACCAAAAACACTTTTTAAACACCTAAAACAATATCCAGCCCTCTTCCTTACCTCAACTCCTACCATTTTACAACTTACGGTAATGTTTTACGCTTTATATTAGCATAACTTACCGAACAATCAAAAGGTCTATGCCAAAAAGGTTGGTTTTTTATTGCGATATTGCTTTTGTTATTCATCTTCCGACCGAAAAGACAAAGAAAAGCAACATTTGATACATAAAACCTTTCCTTTTTAATATAAGGTTATTAATACTTGGTCTTTTACTGTGTTTTCAACTGTTTACCCTTTGCTTTACCTTATATTTACATAAACAAAGGTTTAAATCCACCAATTTGGCAAAGAACAACGAATTTTCCCCAAAATCTTCGTTAAAACCCCGGCCGCAGCTCGCGTTATTAAATTATTTCTCTTTTTTTGCTGTTTTTCGATCGACCAACAGATCGCTTCCATATTATATATCAAATAAGAGACGTTAATCTCGGTTAAACAAATATTTGCATACGTTTTTGCGGGGATTTTCATATTTTGTGCGGTAGAAATGGGATGTTATTCTAGGTTCTCTACGTTATTTCAGGAGTCCTCTATGTTAGTTTAAACAAAAACTGGGTGCTTTGATGTGGTTTTGAATGGTTTAATGTGGTTGCGGGTTTGGATAACATTTGTCAAGCTGTTTTAGTTGGTTTTTGTTGAAAAGAATACGATTTTTTGGGATTTTTGACATTTGGTTTTGATTTGATGTCGATATCTTGTGGTGAATATTTTTGGATGTTATGGGGAACATAACTAGTCGTTTTTGGTGTCTAAGGAAAGCTGAGACATTTGTTTACCTTTCTTATAACAAATTTACTCGATTACCTTTACTTATCCTCAAGTTTCAACGCGTTAAAGCTATCATTACTAAAAAAGATGCCTAAAACAATATAATTTAATTTTCGTTTCAGTTCCGTTCAACGGAATGACGGACCTAGCTGAAAATCTGCTCCAAGGTCTCAGCATTCACGACAAAAAGCCTCAGGACAATGTGGATTCGGGATCAGAGGTTTCACACTCAGGAAGTGGTAGTCGACCTTCATCTAGTCAAAAAGCACATTCTGTTGGTTCGTCTTCTACTGCTACTCAAACCAACGTGACTAAAGTATGTTTTTTACATTTTATTGTTGTTTTTAATTTTAGGTAACAAGTTACAAAGAATTTGGAGTGTTAATTTTTGTAAAGAGAAGAGATTTTGGTATTAAGGTAGCTGACGTCTAGTGTAACATGGGAATTGATGTTTATCTTTTAATTTAGAAGGAAGTAACTTTGTTAGTGAGTGAAATCAGTTAATATAGATTGATCTTGATCTAAAACAACATATCAATAGCATTTTATGTTTCACAGAGTTGAATTTCAATAATTTAGGTACCTAATAGCTAGTGTAATTTAGAAATTAATGTTTTCCTTTGTGTTTTCTTATAAGTAACTGAATTTTTTTAGGTATATTATCATGTGGACGATGAGCCAATAGCATATATGACTGAAGTACGAGTACCATCAGACCGAATAACACTTGGCGACTTTAAACGAGTTTTAAATAGATCAAACTTTAAGTATTATTGTAAAGCAGTCGATTCTGCAGTCGGAGCGTAAGTTTTTTGATTTGTTTTTGTTGTTTTAGGTATGAAAAAGCTTGCTGTTTGTATTTTGGTGTTGTTTGTGGGCTTTTTGACCTTTTTAATTAAATATAAGTGCCTAAAGTAATATTTTCAGTGAAGTAAAATGTGAGATCCGAGACGACGATCATGTGTTACAAAGATCGTCGAATGGGCATTTCGAGTTGTTCTTACTCACAACAGAAGGTTCTACACATTCTGATGGTGGGTCAACGACGTTCTCCAAGCCCTACAGGCATGGAGTACCTGGTCCAGCACCAAATTATCCATCAAGCAGCTCTCATCTGTACAGGCCTAAAAATTACTACGAATTCGGTTGGTTTTTTAAATTTTTTGTTTGATTTTATATTGTTTTAGTTGATACGATGGTTTAGGTAGATGTACTAGGGCTTTATGTGTTATGTAAATGAGTTTTGGTTAGAAATTTATGTAAGATTTGGGAGTTATAGCTGTTTTTGACAGCTTTGGTCATGTGTAATATCGGGTGGTGAGAATTTTCGGAAGTTTTAAAAAAAAGTGCTTGGCAGAAAGAAAAATACTGATAAAAGAAAACACATTACACTATTTTATAGTACTAGATGCTAATGTTTTATGAAAGTATACCTAAAACATTATATATATCAATCTTCGCCTACTATAACATCTTTTGATGTGTTTAGAAGGAAATAGCTTGAAGATCAAACAAAGAGCAATAAAAAATATAAAATACACTTTGTTTTACTACTTAAAAGTAATTAAGCCTAAAAACATTATGAACACAGTTATATTGATCAACAATACCTACCAAACCCACCAACAACAATATCCAGCCCATATTGATAATAACACTGTGCCTCTTTTCTTGATTAATTACGGTTTTAACGGGTGGTTAACATCGAATATCAATCAAGCCGGGTCCTGATGGATAATCACTCGTTTTTCCGGCCGTTCTAGAACAATTGGCCGATTGTGTGCCGCGAAAAAGTATCAAAGGCCATGCAGGCACAAAGGCGATGCTTAATTGGAACAGTTGAGGCCAAAAAGATGTTTTTTGATTTGATTGGGGCTAGATTGAGCTAACAGATGATTTGAGATGGTATGGGCTTGGGTTTGAGGCCGGAGGGGATTTTTTAAAAAGTTTTGCAAATTTTGAAAAAAAAATCATTTTGTGAGAATAAGGGTGGAAAAAAAAAAGTTTTTGGCGTTAGTTGTGGGGTTTATGCCTTCAGATTTTTTTTAATTAAAAATTTTATTTTTAAATAAAAAATTTTTAAATTTTGAAGTTTTTTGAAATTTAAATTTTTAAGGCAAAAGTAGTCTCGCAGGCATTTTATAGATTTCTAGAAGCTGTAAAAAGTTCTTTTGTTTAAATATGGTATTTAATTTTAAAATCAAATTTTTAAAAAAATGTAAAAAACAACCCCTAAGGGCATGAAACCCAAAAACATTCGTATATATTTTCGGAACGGAAAAAAGTTTATGGCTTTTATAAAGTTTTATTGCCTTAGGATTTATGCCATCGGATAAAAAACGATGTGGATATGAATGTTTGTGCATGAAAAATGAGTTTTTTCGAACGTTTTTTGCTTTTCATTTTTATGCATATGGTTTTTATCATTTTGTTTTTTGAAATTTAAACCAGATCTTTGAAAAAGTAATGGTAACGTGGACTTAAAAAGGTAGTTTTTGAAAAAATAGGGGGTGGCCCTGGGCTTGAACTTGAGCCTGAGATGGAGCTTGAGCCGTAGCTCGACTAGTGAGTTTCACCAAATATCCTTCGACTTTTAGAACGAGACCTATATAGGATGAAAGAGCATAAAAAGGTAACTCGAAAACCATTTTCAAAAACTGTTAAGTGGTTTTGGCTAGCGAGTCACAGTACGCTTAATATCCGTTTATGATCGACAGGTATAGGATATTGAGCGCGCTGTAACTCGCTGGCCAAAACCAATTAGCAGTTTTTGAAAATGATTTTCTAGGTAACCCTATATGCTCTTTCATTCTATATAGGTCTGGTTCTAAAATCCGAGGGATATTTGGTGCAACTCCCTTGTTATAAATGGCATTTTGGCTTATTTGATGAAAAAACCAGCGTTTCCAGACGAATTTTCGTGATTTTTTCACTTTTTTAAGTAATACTGATAACGTTTTTGGGTAACAATGAGCCAAAAGGAGTCAAACTTCCTCTCCAAACTATCAAAGATCAGATTCCTAGCCGAACGACCAGCTTCGACCAGTTTTACCTTTGGCAAAGCTCCAAAACGGTCGGATTCCGACAATTCGGCCAAAACTTTGTTGCCAAAATCGAAAAATTTCGCGTGGCCAAAACCGTTTCACGGCACAAAATCAGCACAAGAACTACCCGCCCTAAGGGGCTTGAAATGGCCATCGTTGTTGAAACGGTTGGGTAGCAAAAACGAGTGTTTTAAGGTGGATAATATCGACAATAATGGTGTGCCAAAACTTCATAGAACTAAACATGAAACTTGTCTAAAGGTTGAGAATGGTACGCATTATGGTACTGCATTTAAATTTTAGCAAGAACTTTTTTTTATAAAACAAAAAATGGCAAGAACTTTCTTTACAAAACAAAAGATGGCAAGAACTTTGTTCACAAAGCAAAAATTTGCAAAAATTTTGTTTACAACGCAAAAAAGTTTTGAAAAAGTAAAATGAGATCAAACAGACCATCTGATATTACACATGCTAGAAAAAGTTCAAATTTTGATTGAATTTTATGAAATTTTTGTCATTTTAGGTGCTCATAGACGGCCGTTTGATGATTCTACAGTCTATACAGAATCAGAAGCTAGAGTTTACTCCGATGATGAGTCGCAGTAAGTTTATTTTTTGAATTTTTTTTGTAAAAATGGGACGCTTGACAAAAACTTTGTTTCCAAGAGTTAAAATGACAAGAATTTTTTTACAAACAAAAAATGGCAAGAACTTTCTTTACAAAATAAAAAATGGCAAGAACTTTCTTTACAAAATAAAAAATGGCAAGAACTTTCTTTTCAAGGCTTAAAATGGCAAGAACTTTCTTTATAAGGCTTAAAATGGCAAGAAATTTCTTAAAATAACAAGAACTTGTAATAACAATCATATACTGATGCCCCTGTGAGCTTAAACCCCAATCTGTCGCTTTTTGCTCGGCGTTTTGCACCGAAATTGGCCGTATTTCATGGCGGCCGCACGCGTTTTTGATGGATTACCATTGGCTGTTGGAGTCGTTTGGCGCGCATGCCATGTTTCACTCATGACACTTATGCTTGGACATTAGTATCGAAGACTAAAGCTTGTTTATATTGCTATATTGTCTAAAAAATTGAGGTTGCTGGAAGCAATTTTAGAGATTTTAGGCTAAAACTTGCAGTTTTCTGCTGAAACGTTTTGGTTATTGCCATTTTTTAATTCACTTGAAGGGAATTTTAAGGTGGAAAGTAATCTTTGATGTTCTGGGGTGTCTTTTGTAAAATACGCGGTTTCTAAAGCTACCGTGTTATTTATTATAACCAAAAAAGTTGATTTGAACTTACTGAAATATTGAAAGTTTGGCTACAATTAGATCAAAACTATATTGAATAGTATCGATATATGTACTAGAAATGCCTTAGAAGTGCTGTTTGTAAAATACGTGCATTGTCTCGCTTTTTGTTTCATTTTTCTGACCTAAAATTGAAGTTGAAGTACTAGAACCAACTATAATATCAAAAATTTGGCCGGAGTCTATTGAAAACAGGATTAAATCTTGACGATTAGTGTACTAAAATAATTTTGGGACTACATTTTGTAAAATACGAAAAGGTGTCTTATTACCAGTGATTTATAATGAAAAAAAGCTGCTTCATTTCTACCTAAACCTACTATAATATAGAAAGATTTTCTAAAATCTAATGGTAAAACTACACTAAAAAGCTAAAATTACTGGCTAAAAAGCTAAGAAGGACTAGATTTTATTATGCTGGGTTACTTGTCGGACTCAGAAGACGATCGACCGTCAAGCCCGTCCTGTATAAGTAGCACGAATTGGAGCAGCCGGCTGGCTAGATCTGATCCGGAGTAAGAGGGTGAAAGGGGAGGAGGGTAAAATACGAGCGTGCAATTTGAGTCAAGTCTAAGATTTGAAAAAATTTGTAAGACTTTGAACTTTAGATGAAAAAATAGCAAGAACTTTCTTTACAAATCAAGACATGGCAAAAATTTTCCTTACAATGTAATAAGTGGCAAGAACTTTCTTTACAAACTAAAAAATGGCAATAACTTTCTTTACATTACAAAAAATGGCAAGAACTTTCTTTACATTACAAAAAATGGCAAGAACTTTCTTTACAAAACATAAAATGGCAGAAACTTTCTTTACAAAACAAAAAATGCCAAGAACTTTCTTTACATTACAAAAAATGGCAAGAACTTTCTTTACATTACAAAAAATGGCAAGAACTTTCTTTACAAAACAAAAATGTCAAGAACTTTCTTTACAAAACAAAAATGGCAAGAACTTTCTGTACAGATTAAAAAATGATTTTTCTCTTTCCAGTGTCTCCACCTCAACCGACAATGTGACCTCAGTGTCACGCCAACCCCACAACTACTATCGTCGTCGACAACATCGTCGCTTCCGTCGCCAACCCTCGAGAGCATCAACAATGTCATCAATGACTGAAACCTCAATGTCATTGCAAGTCATGCACGTACGCCTCAACATGGATACGGTAAAATTCTTGGGCATTACTGTAGTGGGCCAGTCCAGTGCCCGAGGTGATAATGGCATCTATGTGGCTCATGTCATGCCCGGAGGTGCTGTAGCGTTGGATGGAAGGATTGAGATCGGTGACATGGTACTGGAGGTGAATGATGTATCGCTGGAGAAGATGTCCAACGATGAAGCGGTCGACTTTCTAAGGGATGCTGTTACTGCTAAGGGGTGGGTTTATAATTTTTTTTTGAAGAATTGGCTTTATAGGAGAGGTAAAAAAGTAATGTCTTCGAATTTAGGAGGATTTCGCGTTGAAAAATTTTTTTGGATAATATTTGGGAAATTGAAGGGACTTTCTTTACAAAACAAAAAATGGCAGGAACTTTCTTTACAGAATAAAAAAAATGCAAGAACTTTCTTTACAAAACAAAAAATGGCAAGAACTTTCTTTACAAAACAAAAATGGCAAGAACTTTCAGCGAATTCTTTACAATTCAATTTTCAGCCCAATCAAACTGACAGTAGCCAAATGCGTAGACTCTCACCGCGCCAACTTCCTAGTCTCGTCTCGTGAACCAGTCCGACCCATCGACACCCGGGCATGGGTTCAACATACTAACGCCATGATTGGCGTCCCCATGAATTCGATCCCAGAATCGGCCGAAGAAGCTCCAACCCCAATCCCAGGCCAGTACGCTCCGAATCATCCGGTCTTTTGTCGACCCCAGTCCAGTTCAACCGCCACTTCGAATGGGAGCGGGCCCAAGAATACTGTAATCAACTCATTCTTCACTTTACCACCACGACTGGACTTGAACACGGATAAGAAGATTGTGGCAAAGGCAATGGCAATGCCCAATTCTGGGCTGGAGGTTAGGAATAGGACGTGGCTGAAGATCCCTGTGCCGATGTCGTTCTTGGGTAAGATTGAAAATGTACTAAAAAGTTCTTAAAAAACCTCAAAAACGCCAAAAAAGTGGTTTTTAAAAGTGGAATTTGAGTGGAAGATTTGTAATGTAATTTGCACTGAAAATGTTCCACCACACTTCCACCTTTAAAAGTGTTAAAATGGCCTAAAAACACGTTTTTAACACTTTTTGGAAGTGGAAGTTTAGTGGAAGATTTTCAATGTAATTTGCACTGAAAATCCTCGGCTCAACTTTTATTTTTTAAATTCTTTAAAATTTATGAAAATAAGTTTTAATCACTTTTCGGAAGTATTTTTTCAACACTAAAGTAATGTATTTTCATTTTAAATACTAAATTTCAAATATTTTAAGGTTCCGCCCTACTAGACTGGATCAACGAGCACGTTGACGGAATCCGTGACCGAAAAGAAGCTCGCAAATACGCGTCGGATCTGCTGAAAGAACGTCTCATTTCGCACGTTGTTAACAAATCCTCATTCACGGAACAGTGCTACTACGTGTTTGGCGAAGAGTGTGCGGATGTGCTGAAGTTGAGGAACGAGGATGGCACTCCTAGGACGGATTTCATGCCACCACCCCCAACACACTTAAGCAAACCCGTCCCTGGCCATGGGACACCTTTCCAGTGGACTCAGTCTAGGAGCACGGTAGGTCTTTTTTTGAGGATTTTTAAAGGATTTTTTAGGCTTAGTATACTTAGGCTTGTAGGCTTAAACTTATGTTATTTGATTTACCTTATGTTTACAGGCTTGAATTAGGCTTAGAGTTATGTTTAAGGCTAGGACTAAGATTAAGTCTAGGCTTATGGTTAGGGTTGGTCATATATTCTTTGGCATATAAGCTTAGGCTTAGCAGGCTTAGGTTTACATGTCTAGGCTTATTAGGCTTAGGCTTAGTAGACGTAGGATTAGTAGGCTTAGGCTTAGACTTATGGGCTTTCTTACTGTAAGGTTTTAATAAAATATCGTTTCAGGGTGACTACGCCTCAATGCCAGTATCGCCATACCCAGGAAATGGGCCTTTTATGCCTCAAAACCCACTGAATCAAACCCTGCCAAAACATGGTGACATCCACAGTCAAGCCAGTGGAAACTCGAATGATGGGTCGAGTTCGTCGGATCAGAGAAGAAAGTAAGTTTTTTTTTTAATTTTTAAATGGAAAATGTGATTTTATGGCCGTTTAGGCTTATTTTTGATAAAATTTGGGCCGTTTTGAAGCTGAGTTCATGGCATTTTGGGCTATGTTTGGCCGATTTAAAAAATTTTTAAATTTTTTGAATTTTTAAAATTTTTGATATTTTTTTCAAATTTTTAATCAAAATAAAATTTATAAAACCTCTTCATTTCAAGACCCCTACTACCAGCTGCCCCACCCCTGCCGATGGGCCTAAACTCCCTATACCAACAAGGCCCCCAACCCCCTCCAACTCAACCCCCACCCCTACCGCCCTTCGAGACCCGCGACTCGTCGATGAAACTCGACGACCTCGGCTCTAATCAACAACTACAAGCTCTAGTCAGTCAGGGCTTCACGGTCGACCAACTGTAGACTCAACACATATTTATAATAATAATAATATATTGTCGATCCTTATCTTGCCATAAATTTTACGAAATTTAGCAGTTTCAAAATTTAATGATGGCTTTTCAAAATTTTTTAATGTTTTTAAACTTTTATTGCTAATTCCGTGGCAAAAACAGAATGCTATAGATGAACAACATTGTATACAGTACATACAGATAAGGCTGTACCGAGTAGTCACCATTACAAGTGTGTTTATCGCTACAAATCTCGCACAAACCCGGCTTGCCGTACTGGTCGCACACTGATTTTGCCTGAAATTTGTGAATTTTAAGTGAAATGGCAAGAACTTTCTTTACAAAGCAAAAAAGCGATTTTTTAAAAGTGGAAGCTGAGTGGAAGATTTGTAACGTATTTTGTACTGAAAATCTTCCACTCAACTTCCATTTCAAACATGCCTTAAAATAACCTAAAAATACGTTTTCAACACCTTTTTGAAGTGGAAGTTCAGTGGAAGATTTTCAGTGCAAACTACATTACAAATCTTCCACTAAACTTCCATTTTCGAAAAACTCTTAAAATACGATAAAAAGTGACAAAAACTTATGAATTACCTGTGCACAGCTCTCATTCCTGGTAGACAACCCAGTAGTCAAACCACAGCCTCTAGCGGTAAATTTGGATTCATATTCTCCAAGACATTCAAACTTGAAACACTCCTGAACACCTTCAGGGCATTGGGTCGGTTTGATCTCTTTGCCCCCTTGAAAACACCATATCGCAACGGTGCGGGCTGAAATGGCAGGAACTTTCTTTCTTAAAATGTGACTGAAATGTCACTTTTACTATAGTAAATAATACTATGTAGTGGTCAAAGTAGAATGTCAAAGTAAAAAATGGCAAGAACTTTCTTTCTTAAAATGTGACTGAAATGTCACTTTTACTATAGTAAATAATACTATGTAGTGGTCAAAATAGAATGTCAAAGTAAAAAATGGCAGGAACTTTCTTTCTTAAAATGTGACTGAAATGTCACTTTTACTATAGTAAATAATACTATGTAGTGGTCAAAATAGAATGTCAAAGTAAAAAATGGCAGGAACTTTCTTTCTTAAAATGTGACTGAAATGTCACTTTTACTATAGTAAATAATACTATGTAGTGGTCAAAATAGAATGTCAAAGTAAAAAATGGCAAGAACTTTCTTTACAAAACAAAAAATAGCAAGAACTTTCTTTACAAAACAAAAAATAACAAGAATTTTCTTTACAAAACAGAAAATGGCAAGGACTTTGTTTACAAAACAAAAAAAGCAAACTTTTAAAAAACAACTTACCAGGCAAAACTCCACATAATAAAACAACACTTACAGTAAGCCTAATACTGTGTACCATTGACAAATTTAAAAAAATAAAATTTCTATTTTAAAAATATAGAATACCGTGCAAACTCGAAACCTTTAAAAAATTGTCCAAGGCAATTTGAAATTGATGCGCGACACTCAAAAAAAGATTTTTCGTCTTTTGAAAGTTTGTTTAAAGTGCTCGCGAAATTAAAAGGACAAACAAAAAGCCTAAGGCCTAGCCGAGTTAAGTCGGTTTAATCGCCGAGATTAATGTGTAGCAACTGCAAAAGTAATCATAATCACGCGATGATCAACACCAATCGTTCAGCTGAACAAAAAATAACAAAAAATGGGTTTAAGGGCAGATTTAGGGTAGGCTTAAGTTTAACTTTCGTATGAATATGTAAAATTTGCAAGCTTAGTATGTTTAGGCTCAGTAGGCTTAGGTCTATTAGGTTTAACAGGCATAGGCTAAGCTTAAGATTTGCCGGTTATGCTGGCTTTGGCTTATCACACTTATTTTAAGGTGGCTTAGGCTTGTTATACTCTGGTTTAGTAGGCTTAGGCTTAGTAGGCTTAGGCTTAGTAGGCTTAGGCTTAGCAGGCATAGGCTTATTAGGCTTAGCACTCTTAAGCTTTTTAGCCTAATATTTAGTGGACTAAGGCTTAGTATTTGTAGGGTTGACATATTAGGCTTATACTTAGTAGGCTTAGGCTTAATAGGTTTATACTTAGTAGGCTTAGGTTTATTAGGTTTAGGAATAGTAGGCTTTGGTTAAGTAGGCTTAGGCTTAGTAGGCTTACGTTTAGTAGGCTTAGGCTTAGTAGGCTTGGGCTTTGTAGGCTGTAGCTTAGTAGGCTTAGGTTTAGTAGATTAATGGGTGTAGGTTTTGCATATGGCCATTAAAAAGCTGCGGGACAGAAAATGAAGCAAACCCCAGCACTCGCAGTAATTTGTTGGCTCGTTTTACATCGAGGCAAATGTTGTACAAGTGAATCATATTAGGTAATAAAAAGTTGCGTAACACAGTTTCTGGCAATTTACCTAAAGCTACCTATTTGTATCATCAGTGTTGAATAATACCGCACAAATTTTAATAAAAATATGAGTTCCTGCAAGCCTTAGCTGTAATATTTTTATCGTTAGCGCATTGCAACTTGGATTTTATAATTAGGCTTAGGGTTTAGATGAAGGATTTTATTAGTTTTGGGGTTTTGCTGAAGCTTTTCTTAGGCTTAGAGTTTAGATTTAGATTTTTATGAGGCTGAGGGTTCAGATAAAAGTCTTTATTAGGCTTAGGGTTGAGATAAAGGTTTGCATTCGGCTTCGTTTTTATTTCAAGGTCTTTCTTAGGCTTAGAGCTTAAGTAAAGCTTTTAGACTTAATTTTATGCCTTATTTTACTTAAATTTGCGTTTTCTGGACGTCATTAACCGAATTTGTTTGACTAGTTTATAAATTTATTTAAAAACATGCAAATAATATAAAATACGAGTTGTTTAGAAGTGTTAGTGCAAGATTATCCAAAAAAAACTTACAAAATTAAAAAAAAGAGCAGCGTACAACGAGAGAGAGAGAGAGAAAAAGAGAGAAAATGGTATACAAGTCGCGGTGGACTAGAAAATTTGGTCGGGAAGGGCTTGATTTAGACGAAAATTTAAAAGCAATACTCCGAAACACGGGCGGGGTAAATTTTTGACATATTTTGAAATGAGAGGGGTTATTTTTGACGAAATATCAAAAATGGGAGGGATAAATTTTGCACATACTCCAAAAAATGGCGGGGTAAATTTTTCGACAAAAAAATTGGGTGGGGTAGATTTTGGCCTTGAATGACGCGGAAATTTAACCGTTTTTAAGTATAAAGCCCGGAGGGGATTTATTGGCAGAGAGACCACGGCTAAAAGGACTAGGCAAGGAAGAGAGTTGGACTGGGATCAGCCGCTGCGATTCCCTGATTCTACACAACTAAGCATACTGTAATTGATCCTGACCATACTGTAGGTATGATGATAATCATACTGTCATTATGAGGATAATCATACTGTAAATACGATTCTAACCATACTGTAAGTACGATACTAAGACGATGAAGCGCTAGACTAGGAGAAGATACGGTATTTTGATAAACCTAAAAGCAATGTACGATACAAATATTTTTAGTATTTTTTTGAAAAAAATCATACTGTAACATAGTGGTATGCTCATAAGTACGATGGTACTATTTAGTATGAAATAGCTCATGGAAGATGAACACCACTTCCATGTAATACAGTAACCTATTAGCAAATACCGTAACCTATTATCAAATACCGTATCCCACTATCAAATACCGTAACCTAAAGTACTCTGTTAAATACAGTAACCCAATAGCACGGTGCAAATCAGAGCAATGAATCAAAGCTACTAGTTTATGGCTAAAACAATGCTAAAATACGATTAAAAGAATTGTCCCAAAAATTTTATATCAATTACGAAATCAAGACCTCCGACCGGTCGATTGAGAGAAATAAAGTTATGACTTGATAAATATGATTCGAATTACAAAAAAACGTTACAATCCGGGAGAGATGGGTGTTAAAGTGGTAAGAAATGGTACTTTCGAGCTTTTTTTTGAAATAGTTGCTTACTGTAACTTAAAGTAGGTTTTGCTTTAAGCTTACTGTAAATTAAAGTGTAAGTTAGAGAGATACTGTAAGTTACTTTCTATCTAATTTGTAGTGGTACTGTAGATTTTATACAGTGATTTAGAGCATTACTGTAAGTTACTTCTTACTGTAACTTACGGTGGTACAGTAATTTACATATATACTATAAGTTGCAGTTTTACTGCAAAATACACGTATAGTGTAAAGCAGATATACTGTAACTTACACTTACACTGCAGATTTCATACTGTAACTTAATACAGTACACATTATACTGTACTTCACAGTCTTGTAAGCCAACTACTTCAAGCTTCTTATCTAAATGAACTTAAACAAGGGATTGGCATTGAAAACGAGACAGTCTCCGACTAGTAGAGAGTACGAGAAAACAAGAGAACATACAATATACCAATAAAAACACAATAGTCGTATATAACACATTGAAGCGGAGCAATAAAAAAAACATTGTAAAGAAAATTCTCGCGGTGTGATTCTTTTTTTCTTCTTCTCAATTCCAAATCTTGAGGAAGGAGTCCCATGAGCCCGTGCAGACCGCCATCCCGTCCTCGGTCACGCCCAGGCAGGAGACGCGGTTGTCGTGGCCAGCGAGAACACCTGCAAATGTAGAGGTTAATATATGTTATATAATAAGCAATAGGTTTAGGCTTAGGCTTAGTAGGCTTAGGCTTAGTAGGCTTAGGCTTAGTAGGCTTAGGCTTAGTAGGCTTAGGCTTAGTAGGCTTAGGCTTAGTAGGCTTAGGCTTAGTAGGCTTAGGCTTAGTAGGCTTAGGCTTAGTAGGCTTAGGCTTAGTAGGCTTAGGCTTAGTAGGCTTAGGCTTAGTAGGCTTAGGCTTAGTAGGCTTAGGCTTAGTAGGCTTAGGCTTAGGCTTAGTAGCTATATTAGACTAGGGCAAACCCAAACCCCAGTGCCAAGTCAAGGCTTCAGGGCCCAAGCCAAGGCTCTGAGCTAAATCCAAGTCTCAAACTTTGGCCCCAGGGCCCAAATTAAGGCCTAAAGTTCAGAAAATCAAAAACATACCAGCTCGCTCTTGTCGCATCGAGTCCCAGACGTTGCAGTTGAAGTCGTCGTAACCGGCAAACAGCAGACGACCCGATTTGGAGAATGACACACTTGTAATACCTGAAAATGGCGGTTTTAATATAGCCAGTAGAAGGTTATAAAGGTTAAGGCTAATGCTTAAAATGGCTTAAGACTAAGGCTTAAGAATCCTTAGGCTAATGATTAAGAAAAGCCATTTAAAGTTCGAGATTTTTATCTAAAATTTGTATAAAAACGATTAGTAAACGTACCGCAAATAATGTTATCGTGAGAGTACATGGCAAGTTCCTGATCGGCGCGAATATCGAAAAGTCGGCAAGTGGCGTCGTCCGAGCCGGTGGCGAAGGCCTGGCCTGAGGGGAAGAACTGAAAAAAGAAATCAATAAAATTTTTTTGATGGTTGATAAAAATTTTTGCCGGTCGATAAAATTTTTTTTTCAACAGTTGATAAAACTTTTTTACTGGTCGATAAAATTTTTTTTTACTAGTCGATAAATTTTTAGTCGCTGAAACACCTACCGCAACAGCATTGATATCTGATTCGTGTCCGGGGAAGGTCTGTTTGCACATTCCATCGCGAACATCCCAGAGTTTGGCGCTGGCGTCGCAGGCGCCGGAAATGAAGGTCCGCATGTCGGGCGACAACGACAGCGACATGACGTCGCCGGTGTGTCCGGTGAAGGCGGTCACTTGTTGGCCGGTTTCAATGTCCCATAGAGCACTGGAATTGAGATGACATTAAATTTTTGAAGGTTTATTGAAGAAAACAAGTGATAAGGGACTAGTCCTGAAGGGGGGGGGGACTACTAGTCCCGAGTTTGGCTTGAATTTATGCCGGACCTGGTGGGTTAAGGCAAGCCTGGATGAGATCGCGGGAGCGTGTGTGATTTTGGGACCTGGGTTCAAACCAAGACTCTCGGACCCAAACTAAGGCCCCAGGTCCTAAACCAAGGCCCGAACCAAGGCCCCAGGATCCAAACCAAGGCTTCATGACTCAAACGAAGTCTACAGAGCCCACACCAAAACCCCAGGACCCCCGCCAAGACCCCACGGCTTAAACCAAAGCTCCAAGAGCTCACGTCCAGACCGATACCGGGTCTAAACCAAGCCTCTAGTTCCCAAACTGAAGCCACATGCTCAAAACCAAGGCTCCAGGGCTCGAACCAAGATTTGAGACCCACAGGGCCCAAGCCAAAGGTCCAGATTTTAAACCAATGTCCTTGTTTCGAACTAAAGCCCCAGGACCCAAAACAAGGCTACTAAGTTTAGCTATATTCTACCCTACCCTACCATCCTCAAAAACCTACCAAGTCATATCACCGGACGAGGTGACGATCTGGTTGTCGTCCAAAAACCGACAGCACGACAGGTATCCGGTATGGCCGGGCAGTTCACGACTCACACGCACGTTGCCTTCGCGCGTTTTCAGCGAGTAGATGGAGCAAATGTTGTCCAAACCGCCGCAGGCGACAAATGATCCGGATGGCGCGTACGCGCATGTCATCACCCACGACGAGCGCAGTGGGATGGCGTGAACTTTGTTCGTCGTGTACGAGTCCCAGACGATGAGTTTACCGTCCTGTGAAGCGGAGACGAGGTTTCGCGAGTCCGACGCCCAGTGCATGGCGTAGATTTTGGCCAAATGACCACGTAGGGTTCGTCGGGTACGCATCTGGATTCGACCGATCGGCTCGAGGTTGGCGGCCACCGAAGCCAGGGTTGTGTCGTTTGCATTTTTGCGAGCTTCCTGAAGAGTTGTGTTATAGTAATGATCAAGAATTATGCTAAAGTTTCGAAATTGTTATGCAGGACTTTTTGTTAAAGAAAGTTTGTTATACAGTCTTCTACCCCCCAATTTCTACTCAAAATTTGTTTTTGTTGTTACCCCCTTTGTGCTGAAATCCTAAGAATTCATTTTAGCGGTCATTTACGCTGATTGTAGTGTACAATTTATAATTATTATTTTCGCGTCGTGACGTAGCTGGTGCTCTTTTTTAAAGTAGTCTTTAGTGTTGCGGCGAAGAAACTCATTTCCTTTGAGGACTCGCACTCTACTTTAGTAATGCCGCTGGGCACACACTGAGCCATAAATTTGGCCGAAATTCTCCGCTCTTTGTGTCGGCGGCGATTTAGCTTACACACACTGTTTGGTGTGCATAAACAAAGGCGGGCTGTCTGGTCAGTCTCTCTTGGTCTTGTTATGACTCAACGTGCTTGGTCGTCGCTCTGTGTATAGCATAGCGTTCTCGGTGGTGGGTCTCTCCTTGACACAACGTTCTTGGTCGTTCTCTTTTTGCCTCAACGTTCTTGACCGTCGGTTTCTTCTTGATACAACGTTCTTGGCCCTCGTTCTTTTTCAAACACAGCGTTCTTGGCCGTCGGTCTCTTTTGGACACAACGTGTCTGGCCTAGTGTGTACGAGGAAACGTCTAACAGACACTTTTGTATAGCACTCTCTTCGTTATCAGAACTCTCTCGTTCTTTTTGAAAGCTTTTTTTGTTCTGGATTGACTAGTCTATCTTTCTTGCTTTGCACTACTATATTCATCTTGCCGTACACTGGTCTATCTCTATTGCCCTACCCTAATATATTTCTTTTGCCTTTGACTCTTCTATCTCTCTTGTCCTAAACTACTATATCTTACTTCCCCTACCCTACTATATTCCTCTTGTCCTACACTTTTTGCGTCTTCAGGAAAGCCACGAAGACATTCGACATCCCAGTGGACCCGATATCGACCCGGTCGTGACGTCAATGGCATCTCTTTTTGTCACTGCCTTCGCCCAACTTTTGACTATTTTGTTTGGCCGCTTTTGTCTTTTTCACTGGCTTGTACTCTGTTTTTCAATGATCTTTCTGTTCGTACTCTTTGCTTAGTTTATCTACTTATTGGTACTCTTTTTGTAACTGATCATTCAATATTTACTTTTTTCTTAACTGACCTTCTTATGCATACTCTTGTTCTATTTGGTCTTCTTATTCATACTCTTATTCTATTTGGTCTTCTTATTCATACTCTTTTTCTATTTGCTCTTCTTATTCATACTCTTTTTCTATTTGCTCTTCTTATTGATACTCTTATTCTATTTAATCTTCTTATTCATACTCTTTTTCTATTTGGTCTTCTTATTGGTATTCTTTTCCTAACTCATCTCCTTTTGGCAAGCCTATACTAGGCCGTTCAAATACTTTTGTGCCCCAAAATCTCAAAAAGAGGTGTTCAAAAAATAATGTGCCCAAAAATTTCAAAAAAGGTCGTTCAAAAAATCATGTGCTCCCAGGCCCCAAAAATCGCTTTGAGAGAGGGCACAAAATTATTTGAACGATCTAATATGAAGAATCAGGCCAAAGCAAATTTGAATGTGGCCGTGCTGAATCGGCACACGTGAACCCTAGATCCGAATCAGAAAGTTGAGCCAGGCCTAGCCGCTTTACAAGTCTAATTCTCTAGGACAGTACTTTCCCCATTCCTCGTACTATTTTGCACTCTTTCGCACCACTTCTTTCCCAATACTCCCCCCCCTACCAGCATTATTTTTGCTACACTGGCCCTCTAATCTCTCCTCTAACCACTCTCTTCATTCCACGCGCTCTCTCTCGCCCGCGCCTTATCTATTGTGGGTCTTTTCTATTGACATCATGAATCGTAAGAATGTAAGTACGACGACGTCACTCGATGTCAACAATCTATTGCAATACCAAAACATGGAAATATTAAAATCGAATTTTGCGATATTAAAAATTTTGAAATTTTGGGCCTAAAGCAATGAAAAAAAAGTTTTTTAAATATAGAAAAGGACATGGCTGAGCAAGTAAAATGCACTTTATGTTGCGTAATTATAAGGTAAATTAGCGTAATTGCTAATTACCGGCTTTGCAAAATGTCAAAAAAGGTCTTCTCTATGTTGTGACTCTAGAATTGGCTAATACTGAAGGTAAAAAGGTAGAGTAAAAAAGCAAAAAAATAAAAAACAATTTAAAAAGTATGCAAATTTCAAAGGCTTTTGTAACAATTTTAAAAATACATTGTAACTCTTATATAAAGAACTCTTATATAACAAAAACTCTGTATAACAAACAACTTTGAAATTTCACCGCCAACACTACACAGTATATTTAAAACTTCTGTATAACTAACTCCACTATAACAAAAAATTTTAAAGTCTCTAGGCGATTCCTTATAAAGAAGTTCCACAGTACCTATTAAAATGTTCAAATAGTTCTTTGCTCCTTTTCAAAACAAATTTTTGCGGTCAGGGGCACATAATTATTTGAACAATCTTAATATCTGTGAAACAGCCTATTAGGTTGAATCAAAAGTAGCGGGACAGTTGGGAAATAAGAAGAAAAGTGTCCCGCTACTTTTGGTCCAACCGAATATTTTGGTCCAACCTAATACTTAGTCTTATTTGGAAGCATATTGTTTCAATTTTTAGTCCGACAACTTGCTCAAATATAAAATTTTGAAGTTTTTAAGCAATAACTTTTTGTCAAAATTTTAAATTTTAAATTTTTATACAAAAGCTTCTTGTCAAAATTCAAAATTGTTGCTTTTTTTCAAAATTTTCGTGACTTTTCGGACTTTTGCCAATAATGACATGAAGCCCCATTTTTGGACCGCAAAATTGCCTACACGTCATTCTCGGTCTTGCAGGTGAATTCGCCTCTCTTTTCATCCCAAAAAACAATAACTTGTAACAATAAAGCCTATATTTGGGGCGCAAATGGCTAAAAATAATCCATAATTTGTTTGTTTTTCACTGCAACTCTTGGTCTGGTTGCGGACTTTTGGGACTAGGTTGCGAAAGTTGCGGGCAACAAATTTTGGATTTTAAAGTTTTGGGGCATGGAGGGTTAAAATAGTATTCTAAAGCTAAATTTTGAAATTAAAAAAATTTTCAAAATTACGAAATTTTTTGGGCTAGCTTTTGCCCTAGCTCTAGTTCTAACCCTAGCCATAGTCCTGCTCTAGCCCTATCTTAGCCTTTTCTTAGATTTATCGTATCTTTTCCGTACTGGAACTCCTGTATAACGAACAACCTTTGAACCCCAGCTAACACTATACAGTGCATTTGAAAACTCCAGTACAACGACCTTTTGCGTTCAAAACCTCTCCCAAACCGCTTACTCTGATCTGACTTTTGAGCTGTTCGGCTTCTTGTCGAAGCTGGTCCAGTTCACTCATTTTGCTTGAAACTTCGTTGTGGACGGCGGCTTAGGACGTGCTATTGAAGAGAGTATGCTGAACGTCGGAGACGGTCCAAGGTTGCGGCACAAAACAAAAAACAATGTCGTGAAGGGAACGCCGATGAAGGAACGTTCGCGCGCACGTTGATTAATTAATAATTATGTGGGGCAGTGGAGGGGAGATGAAGGTTTTCGCGTCGAGACACACCTTTTTTTCGTTTCGCCTGGGCAGTGCGGGAACGCCGGGACTGGAACGGTGCTGGGTCCGTGATTCCGGGGAGCAAGGTCCGAGCGTGATCCTGGAATTGAAAATTTTGTTTTAAGTATTAGGAATGTCATTTTTGAAAAATTTTTTATCAGAAATGGCAAAAATAGGCTTAAATGGCAGTGTAAGCTAGTAAAATTTCATTTAAAAATTTTAAAAATTTGAAAAAATTAATTTTTTCAAAAATTAAAAAAAAATTAAATTTTCAAAAACTAAAAATTTAGAAAGAAAGTGATAGCAAATTAAATTTTTGATCAATTTTTAACCGGTCAAAAATAAAAAGGTTTAACGGTAAAAATTTTTTTAGTAAAAAGACATGAATTTTCAGTCATTTTGCTTTGAAAAAAATACATTTTTGATCGTTTTTTGTACAAAAAATCAATTTTTGGCCTTTTGTTTATAAAAAAGCATCTTTTGATGAACTTTTCTTGACAAAAAAGCTTATTTTCGATTATTTTTCGTTTAAAAAATTAATTTTTCGGTACTTTTAAATTTAAAAAAAAATATTTTTTGGTTGTTTTTTTTCAAAAAAAAAATATTTTTTTTGGCCATTTTTGCTTTAAAAAAATCAATTTTTAGGCCCTTCTTTTCAAAAATAATTGATTTTTGACCATTTTTCTATAAAAAATTAATTTTTTGGCATATTTTTCCTTTTTAAAATGTTTAAAATACTATTCCCAAACACTTCCCATAATCTCCAGAATGGCCAAGCTTAAAAACAAAATTACGTCCTTTAATAACAAAATCATGCCACTTGATAAAACAATCATGACCAAGCAGTATTACCTAACGTTGGCCGTTTTTTCTTCAAAAAAGGTGGCTTATTGGCCAATTTTTCTTCAAAAAAAATTCAGCCATTTTTTCCGCAAAAAAATCAATTTTTAGCAATTTTTCTCAAAAAAAAATCAATTTTTGGCCAAATTTTTTTCCTTTAAAAATTTTTTCAATTTACCACCCCCAACACCCGCCATAATAACCCCACTAAATAAACAAACCCATGCCCCTTGACAAAACAATCATGCCCAAGCAGTACCACCTACCTTTGGCCGTATTTTTGTTGAATCGAGGTTGCTCTCGAGCTCTCGACCGGGCCCCTTTTCGGCAAAACGGCTGGGGTGGAAGAGTGAGAGAAAAAAGAGGCAGGGGGGGGGGCCGAAAGAAAGCCGCACACACAGCCGACTGATACACAAGGGGGGGGGGTGGTGAGAGATCCACACGAGCGGCGCAACGACACGAGAGACCCACACAAAGAGTGGGGGGTGGTCGATGGAGTGGGGGAGCGACCGATCGGGTTGGGGTCGGGAGCGACGCGACAGTCAGAGCACGAGAGCGACAATCACACTCGTTTTGCCTGTCGTTTCAGGTCCACGACGGTGCCGGCGGGGCTCTTTCCGTCGGGGGCGCGACCAGACAACGAGACGGTGCCTGCGGGGCGCTGGCTTCTCTCTCTGCTCGCCCAACGACGATGGAGCACGCGTTCGGGCGATGGGACCGAGCGGCGGTGCGGCGAAATAGCGTTGCGTTTGGCGGAGAGCGGTCGTTTGCGGGTCCACTTCCACGGAGCCTTCGGACTAGTCTCGGGGGCTTCTTGGACCGAATGCAAAACTGGAAACAAAAACCGATTCATGTGTGGGGCTCGATTCGAATGCGATAATTACACGAGTCACGGCGGCGTACAATCGTAAATAATATCGTGTTAAAATCGGGAGGGGGGGGGGTGATATTCAAAATATTGGGAAGGGAGTGGAATTTGACAAATTGGAAGAGGGGAGTGTGATATACAAAAAAAAGAGGGGGGGGGGCAATAAAAAAAAGGATGAGGAGGAAAGGGGGGGGTGTTTAGAAAAGTATGAAAAGGGGGTTGATTTACAAAAAAAAGGGGGGGGGGTAATTTGAAAAACAAAAAAGAATTTTAAAAATTCTTTCAATATGGCATAAAACCCGAAAATAAACGGTATTCTAATCCGATAATTGACCTTAACACGCAGATTTATCGCTAATGCCCTTTTAAACAGCCATTTATCGATATATCCAAAAACCGCACAGTTGCTACATTTTCAAAAATACTACAGTAAAAAGTGAAAAAAAACACAAAATATCATCAATAAGTTAAATTTAAAATTTAAAAAAAAAAACAAAAATAATGGCAATTTTCAATTTTACATATGAGATTGTTCAGATAATTCTATGCCCCCTGACTTCAAAAATTTGATTAAGAGGGGGCATAACATTATTTGAGCTATGTAAGAGTAATGTGTTTTAAAGAATTACCCCAACCTTAGCCATACCCTAGCCCTGTTTTAGATTTAGGGTTAGCCTTAGCTTTAGCCTTAGCCTTACCCTTAGTCTTAGCCTAAGCTTTAGCTTTAGCTTTAGCTTTAGCCTTAGCCTTAGCCTTAGCCTTAGCCTTAGCCTTAGCCTAAGCCTTAGCTTTAGCCTTAGCCTTAGCCTTAGCCTTAGACTTAGTGTTAGTCTAAGCTTTAGCCTTAGTCTTAGCCTAAGCTTTACCTTTAGCCTTAGTCTTAAGCTTTAGCCTTAGCTTTAGCCTTAGTCTTAGCTTAAGTTTTAGCCTTAGCCATAACCTTAGCCCCAGTCCTAGCTCGATTACCCAATCCATAGCTTATCCTCCAGCTCTATCCTAGCTTAACCCTATCCTCAATATAGCTCTCTAGCTCTTCCCAGCTTTCAAAGACCCTTAAAATACCAAAAAACACGCCAAAACAGTAACCAGATGTTGAAAAACACTCGAAAAGAAAACAACTGTAAATATTAATTGAGTCGGATTACACAATAGTACTCATCCCGTTGCCATTTACAAAATAACTACGTAACCGAATCACGACGTCGAAAGCCCCCAGAGGGCCTGATTAAGGGCCAAATAAAGTAAAAGTGTAAATGCTACACATGTTTGCGATGTAAAGGGCTTTAATACGTAGGTATAGGCGAGGAATGGGTAGGGTAGGGTAGGGTAGGGTAGGGTAGGGTAGGGTAGGGTAGGGTAAGGTAGGGTAGGGTAGGGTAGGGTAGGGTGGGGTAGGGTAGGGTAGGGTAGGGGTAGGGTAGGGTAGGGTAGGGTAGGGTAGGGTAGGGTAGGGTAGGGTAGGGTAGGGTAGGGTAGGGTAGGGCAGGGTTTAAAAAAGGCGTCAAAATAAAAATGCCACATATGGTGAGAGCGTACGCCCTACGTAGCTCGTAAGAGAGTATATGCTACCTTGATAGTAAAAGTAATGTGGAAAGAGTGTAAACGCTACACATGTGATTCGGCCGTGAACCCAAGCTTAATGAAGTAGAGGAATAAAAGAGGTAATAGAACCCCCTAATGAGCTCTATTTATAGTCTTCGGCCTATAAGCAAAATTTTGAAAATGCAACTTTTGACTATCGTTAGGCTACACGCCGAGCCATGGTTAAACCCCAGCCCTCAAGCCCACGTGTGCTGGTTTGAGCCGGCTTTCATATTTTCTGGTACGGGACCTACTCAAGCCAATGCCAGGCTAAGCCTACTCTAGATCTGTAAAAGAGCTGGGTCAGGCTAATGCTGTAGACCTATAAAAGAGCTAAGCCCAATTTTTTAGTCTGAGCCATCGGTCGGTCTTTGGGCTGGCCTTCGTCTTCAAACTAAAATATTCCGACTGGGCCAGCCTTTTTCAAGTTTTCTAGCCAAGGCCGGTCCGGGGCAAAGCCAAGAGCGGCTTGAGCCTACTGAGTCCCCTATCAGGTATACTTTACGGTCAAACACTGAAAGTGCTCTATATAGTAAACTACCCGATACAGTAATGTACCTTATACAGTAAAGTACCTTATACAGTAATACACCCTATACATTAAATTACCCCATACAGTAAAGTACCACACATAGCAAAGTAGCCTTATATAACAAAGCGACTTTTCTCCAAACCCTTATCACAGAAAAATATGAAACCAAAGCCGAAACAGCTTAAACTCAAGAGAAAACAAAACGAATCGGTGTGGGTGAGAAGATTCGTCAAGGTAAAAAAGCAGAGCGACGGCATGAAAATCTCACTGAGCGCCGTTATGACGTTATTCAGTTGCAAAAAACAACCAATTCTTATCACGTTTTGTTTGGAAAACGTTGTTTTTACTGTTTAGAAGTGCTTTTTGGTAGAAATGGGGGGGGGGAGGAGAGAGAGATTTATGGAAAATTGGCAGCCATCAGCTCTAGTTTAAACCCTTAGCCCACAGCCCCAGCCCAATCCTAAGCTTAAGCCTAAACCTAGGACTAAGCCTAAACCTAAGCCTAAATCTATGTTTAAGCCTAAACCTAAGACTAAGCCTAGTCCAGAGCTTTAGCCCGGAGCCCTAACCCAGAGCCCTTGCCGAGAGCCTTAACCCAAAGCCCTACCGTAAAGCTCTAGCCCAAAGCCCTAGCCTCAGCCCTAGTCCTGATATGAGATAGCTCTACGATTTTCAAGCTTCCAAAAAGACTTGTACCCACCCTCACCATCTCGCCACAACACCTACAATAACAAAGAAACCCCAAACGCCATACCGTAGCCGCCTCAAACACCTGAGGCTAGTCACGCAATCGAAAGTTAATTTGTGTAAAATTGATATTGTAATAAGTGAACTTTCGAGTGTGTTGCTAGGGTAAAATACCGCACTGTCCTTACGAGTGTTTGTGTTGTAATGAATGGTGGTACTGTAGATGGGAACAGAAACGTATTTGGAGAGAAAAATTGAGATTAAGAAAATTATGAGAGACAACAAGTTTGGCCTTTAAAAATTGGCACTACATAGTATAATACTAAACTATTAGTACTATATAGTACCATACTAAATTATTAGTACTATGTAGTACCATACTAAAAAAACTAAGTGCTATTGAAATTAACCCTACAATAAAAAACGGCTTAGTACTATAGAAGTCAGTACGGTATTAAAAAACCCTTAATACTAAAAAAGCCAGTACTACACTAAAAAACCACTTGGGATTGTATGTGTTAGTACTATATTAAAAAATCCACTTGGTGCTATAGGAGTTAATAGTAAGATAAAAAAACTATTTAGTGCTAAAAAGATTAGTACTAGAATAAAATATAGTACTATAAGAGTTAGTACTCTACTAAAAACCACATAGTATTATAAAAGTTAGTACTATGCCAAAAATCTCTTAGTACTATAGAAGATAGTGCTATACTAAACAATAATCCTACAAAAAATGTCTGTAAATACTTAAAAACTTTATTGCCACTAGCTGTCAGGTAATATCCGATACCTTTTCAATAGAGATTACTCTAATACAGCGGATTACCCATCGTACTATAAAGTGTCCATTATTGACTTTTCCGTCTCTTGGATGTTATACGCCGCTTTTACGTACTAAATCCGATAATTCCCAGTGTATAAAGCAAGGCCTGGACTGGGCTTTCAAATTAAAGATTTTGGCTAATAGCTAAAAACGCTGGGCCGAGCCCGTTTTTAAAAAAAAACTAGACCGAGCCCATATTTTTGAAACGGCACGGCCATTTTAAAATTTTCTTGAGCTCAGCCCGGTCTCGGCCTAGTAGGCTTTTTTTCAAGTCGGGTACAGGAGCTGGGTCCAATTTTTCAGCCCAGCCCGGCAGCTGGGTCCAATTTTTCAGCCCAGCCCGGCCGGGTTGGCCTTGAAGCCTTGACCTAGTGGTCCCTCTTTCAAGTCAGTTCATAACGCAGCGTTTTGAAGTTCAAAGACCCTTTGTCCTGTTTAACTCTATAGCTAAAAATTTGGCTAGCTGACTAAAATTTTTAAAATCACAAAAACAAGTTCTGTCAATTTAAAAAAGCTGAAAATGAAATTTGGAAAAGTAGAGATAAAATTAGAAAAGCACTTCTAAAAGGTATGAAACACTTTTTTTAGGCCAAAAAACTCTCTAAAACGACTCAAAAAAAGCGAAAATTTCGGGCTGATTCATATCAACGTTCATGGTTTGACGACACTTCTTATTAACATTTAGTGATTTAAGTTAAAGTTTTGACTTTTGGTTTTGAAATGAAGAGGAAGACACTTAGACCAGTTATTGCATAGAGTACTACATTATAAGCCAGGGGTACCAAAATGTAATTTTTTGAACCAAATGTACCATACAATTCAATTTCTTGGCTAAGTGTACCATAAATTCAATTTTTTGTACCAAGTGTAATAAAAACTCAATTTTTTGGACAAAGTGTACTATAAGTTCAATTTCTGTACCAAGTGTACCACACACTAAACTAAAAGACCAAGCGTACTTAAAACGCCGACCTTTTGAACAACCTATACCAAACACCCTCACCTACCAACCACAAAACCGTACAAAAGCAATAAACTTTCCAGAAACACCCCCAGCCAGTTAATTGAATCCCCAAGCTTTCAGCTGTTTTTCGGAAATGCCAAGTGCGAGAATTTGCACCTGCAAGCAAACTGGCTAACAACTGATAACGAAATTAAGAGTGTTAGGAACAGGAGAAACGTTTTTTCATGATAACTCAAAATTGAACAAAAAATTGAGTTTTGCAAAGATTATTAAAGTTTCCAGGCTTACAAAGTCACTTTAGGAAGAATGAAAGTTGCGTGGAAGATTTTTAATGTAACTTGCACTGAAAATCTTCCACTTAACTTCCACTTTAAAATGTCTTAAAGTTGCCTAAA